AGAGAATTTTCCAACATTTATTTTCTAGTTCTCGGCGGACACAACATCTTTGTTGGTATGTGGTGCTGAGGATCGAACCCGGGCCGCACGCACACCAGGCGAGCGCGCTACCGCTTGAGCCACATCCCCAGCCCCCTGGCTCTTCTTCTAAAGGAAACCTGATGCGGGGAGAGAATGGAAAGGTCCCTAAGACTGACACCAGTCTGGAGATGTCTAGGCAGTTTATGGTGCCTGGTCAATCTCAGAGTGCTCAGGCTGACGGGGTCTTCACTATCTAATCAATAGATAGTTCTGGCTAAATTATAGGTTTCTTGAAATATTGTCTCTTTCTTTATTTAATGGATGTATTGGGGGTTTAGTTAATAGAGCACTGGTAGATTTTCAGGAATTTGGAAGTAACTGCCTGGGAGAGAGACAGGTTTGGGGAGTGACAGGCCTGGAAAATAATGTGGAGCTTTTGAATTAAAATCTTATTTCCTTGTCCTTCCTGTATGTCTCCTTGTCTCTTATTTCTTCCATCCCACCTCAGGACTTTCCCTTTAGCTCTATGGTTCAACCTTGTTTTCAAGGCGAATGTAACGTAATGTCATGGTGGTTATCTTGCTTGCTTGTTATCCCAGCAGCTCGGGACTCCGAGGCAGGAGAATCGCTAATTCAAAGCCAGCCTCAGCAATTTAGTGAGGCTCTAAGCAACTAAGGGAGACCCTATCTCTAAATTAAAAAAAAAAAAAATTAAAGAATGGAGGGTTGGAGATGTGCTCAGTGGTAAAGTACCCCTGGGTTCAGTCCCCAGTACCAAAAAGAAAAGAAAAGATAAAAGAAAGAATGTAGTGTGTCTTATTTGTTAGTTAATTGTAACTGAAGGAATACGGATTGCTGGGATTGTTAGCACAAAAAGCCTGGGCAAACTTCATGGATCATTTCAGCCTTTTATTCAGGAACAGGATTACACCTGGTAATGGCCCCACTCTCCTGATGGAAAATGAGCCTCTGGCCACAGGAAGAGTTTGGACCGTTAGAGGTTGTACTGAGAGGTGGTTTAGTGACATGTCAGTTTGGGCACTCAGGAATTTGGGTTTGGGGGTTGGGGGTCTGTGGCCAGCACCTGGAGAGGATTTATCTTGGAAGAGATTAGAGTTTCCCAGAGCAGATGATTCTAGGTTTGATGAAACACCTTCTCCCCACCAGTGGCCAGCATCTGAAAAGGATTTATCTTGAAAGAGATGAAAGCTATCAATGTGTGGGTTTCTTTTTCATCCCTTTTCCCAGGCTACACTATTTTGGGGTTTTTCATTTTCCATATCCAACAGGGACGGCTGATTGATGACCACATCAAACGTCAAGTACCGGGAGTGAGAGAGTTGGTCTAATCATGTGCCACTATTGAGACCTTGAAACCTAGGCTGGTCTGAACTGAGATCTATACCACGTGTGAATACATACACTCAATTACTAAGATTTGGTTCAAAAAGAAGAATATAAAATGCCTCATCGATAATCTCTAATAGTGACTATGTGTTGAAATCATTTGGATATATTGTGTTAAATAAAATGATGATCAGAGATCTGGGGTTGTGGCTCAGTGGTAGAGCATTCACCTAGCATGCAGAAGGCACTAGGTTCAATCCTCGGCACCATATTGCCGCAGTCTGGCTGGGCACAAATCACGAGCCACTGAAGCAGGAACAAACTTTATTTCTGAACTCCACCAGCACACTCCACACACGCTCCCCCGGGAACTCTCCTGAATGCCACCCACTTTGCTCCTCTAGGAACCACCAACTGGGAATCCCTCCTCCGGCACTTCCCCAACCAATGGGAGCTCTCTGGGAATCCCTGTGAGAACTCCAAAGTAGGCGGACAACAGGGGTCTAATATACACAGCTTAACATAACCATTATCATCTCAATGGCTTGCTGGCTGTCACCTCACAACCACTCCATTCTGGCAAAAATGCCATGCGTCATTTGGACTCAGCTATGGCTCTCAGCACCATATAAATGTAAAATGAAGATATTGTGTCCACCTAAAACTCAAGAATAAATATTAAAAAAAAATGATTATTGAAAGTATTTACAAGTACTTCTACTTTTTAAAATGCAGCTACTAGACAACATTAAATTACATGAAAGACTTGTGTTTTATTTCTGTGGACAGAGTTAATCTAAAAGCTCAGGGGAAAGGCCTGGGACCCAGGGGAGGGCTGAGGATTATGGGGATGGGAGGCATTTTGGAAATGATGACTTCACTTTGGTGGCATCTGACTTCATCGTGCCTTGGTGGGGAGAGCTAGGGTTCCAGCATACAAAAGAATAGTGTGGGTCTTCACAGAAAGAGGGATGAAGAGTCTCTTTCCCTCTTAAAAATATAGTTGTTCCTCTTGGTTACTAATACCTTAATATCTTAACCCTTTATGCAGGAGTTTGCCTTGATTAAGACTTGTCTTTCTCTTAAACACATAAAAAGATGCTCAACTCATTTATAATAAGAAAAACACAAAATAAATTATCAGGAGATACCATTGTTCATCTAGCAGATTGACTAAGATAAAAAATAAATAAAGTGCAAACCTTGTGAACCAGGTGCAGGAAAACAGGGTGGTGGGAATTTGATTGGCAGCATGGGAATTTTTTTTTTTTTTAGCTGATGATCGAACTCAGGGCGTTGAGCCTGCTAGGCAAGCACTCTACCACTGAGCCACATCCTGACTCCCATTAGAATTTTAATTGTGCATACTCTTTAACTTAGCCCCAGTATTTATCCTATAGACAAATAGGTGCAAAACAACATATGTAAAACTTCTTTTTTCTTTTTCTTTTCAGGGACAACTTAAATGTCTACAAGTATAGGCTGATTATATAAATCATGGGTATAATTTTAATAGAATTACAAAATAATGTAACCTAGTGAATAATGTGACTTCAATGGCAGGCAGCTCTAAATAATCAGATGGACGTCTGGGTTCAGCTATAGAAAGATCTGTAAGATATATTGTTAAGTTAAAAAAGAAAGTGAGAGGGGCTGGGATTGTGGCTCAGTGGTAAAGTGCTCGCCTAGCATGCATGAGGCATTGGGTTTGATCCTCAGCACCATATAAATGTAAAAATAAAGATATTGTGTCCACCTAAAACTAAAAAAATAATAATTATTATTAAAAAAAACGTGAGAACAGTATATTAGCACACTGCCATTTCTGTAGGGGGAAATTCAGTATATTTGCTAGGCTAAATGTCCATAAGTCTATAAATTTTCTGAAGGATATATAAGACATGAATCACAGTGGTGGCTTTGAAGGAGGGAGACTATGCTGTAGGGAGAACAGGGCATAAGGGAAACTATCTTTCGCTGTGTACCGTTGTGTAGTTAAATTTTATGATATGCCTATATTGCCAATCAAAGACTAAAGACAAAATGTGGGTGCTTCTCTGTGAGAAGGAAATTCCCTCTTTGCGCACTCCACACAGCTTCCTTTGCCTTTGTGTCACAACCTGGCTCTGACCCTTTTGTGGTGTTGTTCTTGTTAGGAACACATGATAGTAGAGTATGTATTTTGACATATTATACATACATGGAGTATGTATACTTGTGGACAACTTAAGTGTCCACAAGTATAGGATCCCATTATTTTGATTGTACATGACCGTGACTATTTTCAAGCAAGTCAGAGTTTCCTCTCCTCAATTAGTAACTGAAGAGAAATTTTTATGCATTTATTTAATTGTGAAAGACTATCTGGATTTAGCAGGATTTAGATTTCAAAGATTTCGATTCCCCACCTGTATTTTGGCCCTTCCTTAAGATTTAAACATTTGTCACTAAAATAATGAAAATTTTTTTCCTCACTTATATAAAATGAGGTAGCTGTTGGGGCTGGGGCTGGGGCTCAGTAGTAGAGCGCTCGCCTAGCACATGCGGAGCCCTGGGTCCGATCCTCCGCACCACATAAAAATAAATAAAAGGATTGTGTCCAGCTACAACTAAAAAATTAAGACACATTTTGATTAAAACAGAACTGAAAAAGAAAATCCAACTGCAATGCGCCCTCTAGTGGTTAAAAGAAACACTCCCAAACTATTAGGGGAGTCCCTCATTCTCTCAAAACTGGACTAACTATTCTAAAAATCAGAGTGAAAACTCTAAAGATCTAAAGCAAAAATGACACTAACAATCAATAAATCAATCAAGAGTAAAAAATCAAAACACACACACAAAAAATACATGAGAGGGGCTGGGGATATAGGGTTAGGGTTAGGGTTAGGGAAGAGTGCTTATCTCACATGCACAAGGCTCTGGGTTTAATTCCCCACCCCCCAAAAGTAAACATAAGCATAGCAGATGGCATTTCTTAAATTATAATCAAATAGTAACTAAGGAAGAAAATGTTAAAAAGTGTATTTAATTGGTTTTACCAGACACCTTTCTAGAGCCAAACAAACAGATCCCATGTGATTTTTCCATCTATATTCAGATATCTAGATGGAATCTATCTAGTTATGTAAATAACTGACTGGAAATGGAAAACAAAATGAACCACAACTTCAATTTGCCCATGACAGCAACAAAGGGCACATCCTAAAGTAAACAGTCACTGGAATTGGTGAACAAAGAACACCTCCTTTTGGTAAGTGATCTGAGAATAGAATTCATAGAAAATTTCCACAAATGTGTCATTAGTGAAGAAGAGTCCTTGTGCCTGATCATGGTAAGTAAACCAAGATCCTTTGAAGAGGTCCGGAGCCTATGGAGAATCTGGGTGTGACCTTCTGAGAATACCTTTGTCAATTAGATCTTTCATTCCAATAGAGATCATTCCACTAGTTTGGGAAGTAAAATAGTGTCTTACACCACTGTCCTGTGACCTGATCTTGGTGTATGGTGATGGATGGGGACTGGCTTTTTTTCCCCTCTTTCTAATAAGCCCGTTTCCCAACACCATCTGATGAGAAGTTCATTTTTTCCTTCACTGATTCGAGGTGACATCTTTAGTTCCCTTGTGTGAATGGGTCTGTGTTAGAGATCTTATTTTCTACCCCATTGATCCTGTGCTATTATAACACTGTTTGCTTTTGTTTTGTTTCTGCTGTGAGGGCAGGTTGGGCATTTTACTCTTGTATTCCTGGTATTGTGCTGTGTGGTTTCATTCCAGATTCTCAAGTCCTTTCAGAAATTATTATTAGTATCTCTTTTACACATAAGGAAACAGAGGCTCGGGACATTGAAATTCATTGCCTGAGGTCCCCATGCTGTTGATGGTGTTCCTGTGCCACACATGCAAGGCTCGTCTGCAGGGGGCCTGGTTGTTCTTCCCACTCACTGAAGGATCCTGACCAGCTGGGCAAGGTGGGCAAATCCATCGTCTCCATCTCTTCTCAAACTCTGGTATAGCTACAGTTTCGCTGCCTATTCTTCTCACTCGGGCCCCACTGGATCTTTCCCAGATAACAAAACGGGTACTACTAGCGCTCCAAGTTTTATCATCCATGTTCTGTGCTGGATTCTGGTCACTTGTATGACAATTTAAGAAACATATCTCTTAGGGTAGCAGGAGTAATGGGTAAAGAAATGGGTATATATACACTGTGGAATATTACTCAGCCATAAAGAAGAATGAAATAATGGAATTAATTTATTTAATTATTATAAATAATTTATTTAATTATATTATTAAATATAAAATATCCTCCAATATTGCATGCTGAGTGAAATAAGCCAATCCTGAAAAACCAAAGACCAAATGTTGTCTCTTATTTGTGGATGCTAACCCCAAACAAGGGAGGTTGGGGAAGGGAATTATAGAAATCCATTGAATTAGACAAAAGGAAACAGAAGAGGAGGTTCAGGGAGAGGAATAGGAAAGACAGTAGAATTGATCGGATATAACTTTCCTAGTCTTATATTTGAATATGTGACCAGAGTAACTCCGCATCATGTACAAACACAAGAATGGGATCATAAATAGAATAAGTTACACTTTATGCATGTATAACTTGCCAAAATACATTCTACTGTCATGTATAACTAAAAAAGAACAAATTAAAAAATTGAAGACATTCACCATGACAAAATCATCATAAAGAAAATCAAAATTCAAGCAATAAGTTGAAGGAAAGCCCATAGCACTTATCATTCATAAAGATTTTGTTTTCCTGTTATGTAAAGAGCTCCTAAAAATCAATAAGAAAAGAATTACCAACAGAAAAATGAGAAAAAGATGTGAAGTGCAGAAGGAAAACACGAAGGCTCTTGAATGTGAAAAGATCTCAATTTCATGCACAGAAAATGAAAAAGAACTATAAAGAAGAAACATTTTATGTCTGTTCAGTAAATCTCAGAAGTTCACTAACACACTGCATAGATGAAAGGGGGAAATAAACAGGATCATCCACATGGAACAGAGTGTAAACTGGCACAATGAGGAGGAAGATAACTTGGCAATATCTGTCAACATTATGGATATCAATGTGCTGTTACCCAGAAATTGTTACTTCATGTAACTTTTGGGGGAGTGGTATTGGGAATTGAACCCAGAGGTACTTAACCACTGAGCCACACATATATATATATATTTATATGTATTATATATAAATATGTATTTGGAGACAGGGTCTTGCTGCGTTGCTTAGGTCCTCGTTAAATTGCTGAGGCTGCCTTTGAACTCACGATCCTCCTGCTGGGATTGCAGCGTGTGCCGCTCTGCCCAGCAACAATGAACACACATGGTCCCATGTTCTCTGTGGTCTGGAGCCCAGGACTGAGCTGGCCCTAAGGCTGCAGTCCCCGTGTAGCTGTGCTGCAGCCTTGTCACAGGGTCCTGTTCCTCACAGATGGTGGGACTCAAGCCTCATTTTGTGACTGGCTTTTGACCGGAGGCTTCCCTCAGTTTCCTGCCTGGTGGATCCCTCCATGGGGCATCTCACAGCACACCAACATGAGGAAAGAGGAGTGAAGACCGTGGAGGCAAGCCAAAGGTCTTTTTTAAAAAAATACTTAATTTTTAGTTGTAGTTAGACGCAATACTTTTATTTATTTATTTTTATGTGGTGCTGAGGATCGAACCCAGGGCCTCCCAGGTGCTAGGCAAGCGCTCTAGCGCTGAGCCACAACCCCAGCCCAGCCAAAGGTCTTTTTAACCTGATCCCAGAAGAACATCCTGTCATTTTTTTTTTCTTTTTCTGATACTGATGCGTTCTCTCTGTTAGAAGCAATTCACTGGATCGAACCCACCCTCAAGGGCAGAGAATTACATAAGGGCATGGTTCAGGGGTTGGAGATTGTTGGTTGCATCATAGAAACTGTCTGCCACACATATGTACTATATGTATAGCTACAAATACCTTTTCTTTAAACACACACACACACACACACACACACACACACACACACACACACACACCCCTGTCTTGCCTTTGCAGTAGTGAATCCACGTTGTAAAGAAAGTATCCCTGGGCTGGGGATGTGGCTCAAGGTGTAGTGCACTGGCATGCGCGGGGTGCTGGGTTCGATCCTCAGCACCACCTAAAAATAAAATAAAGATGTTGTGTCCACCGAAAACTAAAAAAATAAATATTAAAAATTCTCTCTCTCTCTTTAAAAAAAATTAAAAAAAGAAAGAAAATATCCTTCCTTCTTACAGTGGCATAGAATTTCAGGCCACCCCCTACCCCCACAGCATTCTTTTGATGTGCCACACCTCACTCCAAGTCCCATATTGGTGGGTGTTGGGGATATTTTTGGTCATGTGTTGTAGTGGCTTTTGCTGCACATGTTCTTCACCTGTGTGACAGTGCACCTGGCCAGTAAATTCCTACAGGTGGGACTGTTGGGTCAAAGGGTATGTGCACTTCACATTTTGATGGCCATGGCCAAATTGCCTTCCAAAGGAGGTCATTCCAATTTATTTTCCAACCTCAGAGTCTCAGAATGGTCTACTGGGCTTCTTCAGGCATTTCTTCCCCCCCCCCCCACAAATTTTAGTGAAAAAGGAAAAGAGAAAAACTCAATGAAGAGAAATTACTATCAAAGTCCACTAAACTAGACAAACTGGAGTCATTCATTTTTATTAATCAGCAACAGAACAAGGCACTGTTTAATTTGATCTGGATTTACCAGGGTGTTTTCCTAGTCTAATACACAAGTGAGAGCTGGGACCTCTGAGTTGGTACCCCAGTGTACCTGGTGATCTGTCCTGGCTCAGGTCACTATATTAGATGGTATTTCCCTCTCTTTCTTTTTAAGGATTAGCTAGTCAGTTTCAACTTCACCTGGGGAAAGGAACACTGGGAGATATTTAAAGGAAATTTACACTAAATAGTTACTGGCTTTGGGAATTCTCGGGTCATTTCTGTTTTCTCCTGATGTTTCAGGCATGAGAAAGACAGAGATGTTGGAGTAACAGAAGTCGCAGATCCTCCGCGCTCCTTCAGTTCTGGAATCAGCTTCCGTGTGTGAGTTCTCACGGAGGACACCCATTTCACCCAGGTTGACTGTTCGTGTGTTAAACCCTTTTAGAGGTTAACAAATTCTTCAGTACATCGAGTTGAAATCAGGTCTCAGTGACTCTGTGCCCCTATCCAAAGCTTTCTCGCCTGCCTTAGGGGGTGACAAGGAAAAGTCTTTGTTCCTTGGAAACAGTTTCCATAGCTTTCTTGACTGTGCTCTTCTCCAGGAAGATGGTTTTAATTTGCATCATTCTTGTTTCCCAGGAATTGGTCTTCAAGGGCACCACAGCATGATTCTCCGAACACACTCCTGTTTTAAGATTCAAAGAGATGTCAACCTGAGGCCCTCCATCATGCATTCTTTCTGCTAATCCCCACAGGATAGTAAGTGTCTGAAAGATCAGGCAAAGGTGGGCAGCGACCAAAGGAGGCAGATCTAAAAAGGCCGCCAAAGGAGGCTTTATTGAGACTCACTCCCAAGCAGAACTCAGACCAACAGAGTGGACAGGAGAAACTGCGTGGAAGTTTGACCGGACTGGACTTTTTGGGGGCTTACAGAGAAAGGTGTTTTTAGGGAAGGGCTTGGGACAGGAAAAGGTGTTTTTAGAGTCCTTTGTCCCATTGGAGTTGGTTGGGGGAGCTGGCTGAACTCCAGGATTGCCCAGGGGGTTCTGCTGATTCACAGGCGTTTCTGTTGATGCCTGATTGATGTTTCTTTCCCATGCGGGTTGCTTTGTCCTAAGTCACTGCCACCCCACCGACCTGACAGTGTACTTTTAGGATCTGAGAGTCTGCATAAAGACAAAGTTGTCATAAGTTGGAGAATGCTACGACAATGGACATAATTCATAACAGCCAAAAGCTAGAGACAACTCAAGTGCCCAATGGGAGATGAATGGGTAAACACACTGTGTATAGGCAAAATATGGAACCATATTCAGCCTTAAGAAGGAAGGGGGGAGGGGCGGAAAAGAAACAAAAACAGACTAAAAAGAAAGAAGGTAGAGCCCTTGCCCAGCCTGTAGATGCTCTGGGTTTGCCCTCCAGCACCATGAAAAGAAAAAAAAAAAAAAAGGAAGGGAGGAAAATCTGACACATGGTACAGAAGGCACAAGGTGGTTGCCATTGTCTGAGGGGCGGGGAAGGGAGTGTTTTTGTTTGTTTATGTTTTTGAAACCTGTCTTGCTATTTTGCCCAGCAGGTCTCAGACTCCAGGACTCAATGATCCTCCTGGCTCTGCCTTGGACAACAGGCACACACCACAGCACCTGACTAAAGTTACTATTTAATGGGTACAGAGTTTCAGTTTGGGAAACAAAACAAAAAGTTCTGGATGCTTGCACAGTACTGTGAATGTACTTAAAGCCACTTAAAAATGGCTAAAATGGTCAATTTTATGTTATGTATACTTATCCTAATAAAAATCTTGTCTTATCACTTGCAGCACCATCTCCAAGACATCTGAAAAGAGTTGCTTATGTATCTGAGACCCTGTATTCATACAATCCATAATTAGCTTTGGTTCTCCACCCCACCTTCTGAACTCTCCATTCATTCCCTGGGAGCCTCTGGCACACTGACTAGACCAACAGAGGGCAGCTAACTAGAGCTTCGATACCCTGGACCTCATGCCCCATAACGTAGAATCTGATTGCAGGAACTTTTTGTTATTCTCTGTGTAGGGGCAACAATGAGATGACGTGGTTGAGCGCTATAAGGCCGTCTTCCTCTTCAGGTTCATTTATTATTTATTCAACCAATACTTATCTTTAGCCTCTTCTGCCAGGCTCTTTACTATGTGCTGGAGTTCAGCCATGCCACTGCCCTCCAGGAGAAGCAAAGCCAGCTCAATTGCAGAGAGGTGACCTCTGATGTCTCTTCTCATAGTTTTGTTATCTCTGATAATTTCCAAACTGTTCTCCTCTAAATGCACAGCGCAGCATGACACGGTGTTATCACATTTAACTTTCCTCTAAGAAGGCATCATTCTTTTCAGCACAGTTTGAATCACCAGGACAAGCACAACTGCCCAATGAAAACCTGATTAACAATGGCAGGATATTAGAAAGATGTGGAGTTGTAACAAGTGTGTCAACATTGAGCACCAGGATCACTCAGGGAAAATCTACCAGGGACCTTGGTTCTCTGTTCACTGGCCGCAGCAGCGCCGCCATGTGGCAAAGCAATAAATGACGATGGTGGTTCTTGGAGTTTGCCAAACTGCAGAAGAAAACAAAATTAAATTGAGAGAAATTTTGCGTTCTTTATACAAGGGAGATGTTTGTCTCCTCCACGCCTTCCAATCCCTTTGACAGCAGGTGCTGGTCTCATGTTATCCCTTCTTCACCAGAACCACATCTTCTACCTATTGATTCCCCAGGAATCATTTCAGAACCCAAATGATTGGAGAGGAATATAATCATTAGGGCCATTTCCATGTCAATTCTCTGGTGGGGGCAAGAGCTGTGCCCTGCCAGCCAGGGACAAAATACAGAAACAGAAAGTTCATGATATATCCTGGAGTAGGCTGGACAATGACCCTTCAAAGGTGTCCACGTCCTCATCTCTAGAATGTGTAAGTGTTCTCTTCATGGCCAGGGCCCTTTGTGGATGTGACAGATTGAGGCTTTTGCAAAGGGATATGATCCTGGATTGTCATAGTGAGCCTCGTGGAGTCACAGGATCCATAGGAGGAGTGAGGGAGTAGAGTCAGAATCTGAGAAGATGTAGGGTGGAGGCAGATGTCACAGAGAAGACACAGCCCTGCTGGTTTTGAAGTGGGGGTTGGGAACTCCAGAAGCTGGAAGAGGAGGAAAGGATTCACCTAGCCAGTGTCCAAAATGGAGACATGCCTGCCAGCCCAGTTTAGATTTCTGACCTCCAAGATGGTAAGAGAACACATTTCTCTTGCTATAAGCCATGAACTTTATGGTAATATTTTACAGCAGCAACAAAAACTAAACCAGTTTCTACCTGTCCTCATCCACCTGCCACACTGCCTCTTGTCCCTGGTGCACAGAGCAGGAATCTCTCCCTTGTTTTCTTATCTTCTCAAGACATGGAGATGTCCTGATTTGTCTTGTGTTTCCCTAACACGGTGGCCTGGTCATCAGCATTCTTTGGCGTATCCTCATAGTCCCTGAGTTTTTTTTTTTTAAATGTGAACTTCAAATTCTATATTTTCCATTCCATAGTTTGCTTAAAAAATGTATAACTGATTGTACAGCCCAGGATCCTCAGATGTTGCTGTATGCAGTTCTCATGATCTGCCAGGGGCACCTTGAATCTCCTTGAGTCTCTCAAGTCCTCATCCTCATCCTCATGAGATTTACTAAAAGCAGTCTCGGGCTGTGGCTGTGGCTCAGTGGTAGAGCACTTACCTTGCATGTATGAGGCACTGGGTTTGATCCTCAGCACCACATAAAAATAAATAAAGATATTGTATGTCCATCTACAACTAGAAAAATATTTTTAAAAAAGCAGTCTCACCAAGGCCAGCAACAAGGCAAGGGTATTGATTAGCATCATTCTTCCTAATATTATTCTGTACATATTGGCTCATATAATTACCCAATGGGGAAAAATAAGATTAAAAAATAAGTGGGGACAGGGTAAGCTTGAAATTATTTGCAATTGATCTGATCTTATGCCTGAAAGCACAAGAGAATAAACTGATAAGTTGTACAGATAATAAAATAATTCAATAAACACATCACACAATATTAATGTATAGTAATCAATGGATTAACAGTCACTTAGGACATTAACAAAAGAGAACTTTTTCTATTTATAGCACTAACAGGAAAGAGAATTAACCTGACAGGAAATATGCAAAGATAACATGAAGGAAACGGAACAAACCTTGTAAACGAAGAAAAGCAGGCTATGTCCCTTGACAGAAAGACGCACCACATCAGCAATGTCAAAGTGAAGCCTTGGCTTTTTAGAGGTGTTGCATCTGGACTTGTATCACAAGCAATCAGATGGAATTGATAAGGGACATAGTCTTGTTTTCATTTTTCTCTTCATAACTTCATTCTCCATCTAGCCTGGTCTTGTCTCAAGAGTTTCAGTCACATGGAGATATGCAGGCTACCCACTGGTTAAAGGCAGGTTGCAGGCTAAGTGAGCCTTATGAAGTGGTCCTAGTCAAGTCCCCCTTTGGACAGTCAGGCTATGACCAAAGAAGGTTCCCCAGATGCTAGTTCTCCTGATCTGCCAGGGGCACCTTGAGTCCTTCTTCCTCTCTCTATTTCTGTTTCTCTCTCTCTCTCTCTCTCTCTTTCACACACACACACACACACACACACACACACACACACACACACTCCTTTTCTCCCTTAGAAACAACTATTTCCATAATATTCCATTTGGACCACCTGAAGTTTTATTAATCTTGTTGACACAATAATTGCTACACAAATATTCTTCCTATCATGATCATAGTTAAAATAGCAATTTATGGCATCTTCCAGCATGTCACCAGTCCATTCTTGGATTATGTGCTTTTCGACACCATTTTTACCTATCTCTTACCTCTTAGGCATTTGTGGTTTTAAAAAAAATGCCACTGTTGCTGTTGTCCAAGGAATTCCATTTATAACCAATAAATAAGTAAGGTAATTTTGGGGTGAGGTAAGGGGGATTAAGGGGAGAAGCTGCTGTTGCCACTGAAATCCCACTTGGAAGACTAGTGATGTGGGGTGGGCATGGGACAGGTGATCAAGTTCATCAGGAAGAGTGGAAATTCCACACAGATGGCCTTCCCTTGAAGACTGTTCCCTGACTGTTCCTAAAAGCAGCTGGGATCTCTCCTAGCAACAGAGGTAAAAGTCTGATCTTTGGCTGCTGTCTTTTCCTTTATCTTCTTTCTTTGTCTTTTATACACTAGAAAATGAAGCCATGCGTGGGACTGTGCTTTCATCAACCTCTGTCCTAAGGCCTAGAGAGCAGGGAGAAACTGCTTTAAAATTCTCTAGAAGGGAAGTGACATCAATTGAGAGCAGTCTGTTGGAATAACTTGGGAGATTTTGGCTTTGAACACTCATTTTTAAGGTCTCCGTGTTAGTCAGTTTTTCATTGTTTTGATCAAAATACCTGACATGAACAACTTAAGGGAGGAAAAGTTTATTTTGGCTCAGGGTTTCAGAGGTTTCAGTCCATGGTCAGCTAACTCATTGCACTGGGCCTGACGCAAAGCAGAACATCATGGCGAAAGGGTGTGACTGGGAAAAGCTGCTCGGCTCATGGCAGCCAGGAAAGAGAGAGTGGGAGAGCCAGGGACAGGATATATAGTCCCCAAGGGCATGATTCCAGTGACCTACTTCCTCCAACCATGCCCCACCAACTTACAGTTACCAGCTGGTAGTCTAGTCAGGTTACCGATAACATTAGAATCCTTTTGGTCCAATCATTTCCTAAAAGCTCTACCATGAACGTTGATGAATTTCTTGTAGAGCTTTTTTGAATTTCTTGTAGAGCTTTGGAATCCAAATCCTAACCCTGTCTTTCAATGTGTGAAGTTTCAACAGCCATCCATCCATACTGTGAAATGCTCTGTCCACTCCACTTGTCCTTGAAAACACTCTGGGGGACCTCTACAAGTACTGTGGACTTCTGGCAGTTGAGTGAGCTTTTTGTTCTGCCTAGTTGGTAAGTTGGTTCTGGATGGTGCCTTTTTATTGTTCTGATAATCACCCCTGGCTAAGACTGACACTGTGTGTCAGATGCAGAAGACCAAAATGTCTACAAGCAGGCAGGGTATGAAGAATTTGTGCACCACGTGAGAGCTTGGCCAACTGGGGTGCACGGGTCCACTTCCTCAGAGGTTGCTATAGCAACCTGGATTGTACCCCACTGTTGCCCAATTTTCCCATATTTCAACAAAAGGCGAACTTTATGTAAAACCTTCCAATTTTAAAGTGCTAGCTCAAATTTTAAAGAGAAAAATCCCCCTGGCTGTGCCAAACAAAACACCTCTATGGACTGTATCTAGGATGACTTTGTAAGTTATACTGAACAGAGTCGCTTAGGCAAAATTCTTAAAAAACAAATGTCAGCTGTGGGGAATAGAGTAGCATCAGAGAGAGAAAAATGGTGTACTTTGAGTGATTGTAAAAAGGTAATGCTAACTGAGGTCAATTGATTGTATAGTTCTTACTACTTATGTGAGGTCCCTTGTTAATAATAATTATGAACATAATTAAATTCTTCCGATACTGTAAAATTCCTTTTGGATTATTTTCATCTCATGTTTGTAGTTGAGAGATAAGACTAAGATTTCATAATTTAAATGTATAAATAACTCTGCTTCAAATTGTGGTTTTGAATTTTGTTGTTTTTGTACTAGAGAATGAATTTAGGGGTGCTTAACCACTGAGTCACATTCCCAACCATTTTTTTTTTTATTTTGAGGCAGGGTCTCACTAATTGCTTAGGGCCTCACTAAGTTGTTGAGGCTGGCCTCAAACTTGTGATCCTCCTGCCTCAGCCTCCTGAATTGCTGGGATTACAGGCAGGCACCACCACACCTGGCAACTTGGTTTTTAATTTTTTCAAGTGTACTTAATTGGTCTTAGTAAGGCCTCCATATTATTTCTGGGCAGGTCACATTTGTTGGACTTGCTTTGGGGCTTATCATATAAAAAAGAAGAAAGGGAGAAAGCCTATATTCCTTTATTTTTACTCTTTCCTAGCAAATATTTAGTAAAAAATATTTTTAAAGTAGGATTTTTGGGATTTGACTGAAAAGCTGCATATGTTCACTTGATGGTGACAAAGTCAGCCTCTGGCATTGCAGGAACACCACTAGGCACACTCCATCCCACTCGTGTTCCCTCCAACTCAGCTGATGATTTCACTTTCTAATCCTAGGCTAAACAACCAACTAAGATCCAGTGTGATAAGCTCCCAAGCAGGAAAGAACAGGTTCCCATGGAAACAGAGCAGGGAATCTAGCCTAGGCTCTGCCAAGGAGATGGGTCTGTGAGGCTGCTGGAAAGAAGTGGCATCTTCAGGAAGAGTAAAAAAACTGATTAGACTTTAATTAGAGGCCAGGGTGAGAGCGAGGACAAAAGCTCAGAACTGGAGAAAGTGTGGCAGGATCTGAGATTGGAGGGTACAAAGCATCAATCTGTTTTATTTCATGTACAGAAATTGTCACTTTCTGATCATATCTTGTTTGATTGTTTATTGTCTCTTCTTCCACCTCCATTTCCTCACAGGAAACAGGAGGATTGCCTGCTGATTCCTCAGTACCTGGTGCATATGACCATTGACCTCTCTGGAGGGCCAGTAATGTAGAAGATCCTGTTCTAAGGTTTCCCCCACCACCCAAGACATAGTTCTACTTCTTCAGAGATGGCTCACATGCTTTCTCTTCTGTGAACCCTCCCCTATCTCTTCACCCATTCCTACTCTCAGAATTAACTACTTCTTTCAGAGTTCCTTGGGCTATTGATCCTTCTTTGAAGCATCAACTAAATTATGTATAGTGTTTATTAGTTTGCAGTTTCCTTGTCTTCCCCATTCCTCTCTAAGTTTTACATCACATAAGGACCAGTCTTTATTTATCTCTCTCTGAAAGCCTTATAACACCAGGGGTAGACTTTTATACACAAAACAGGGCTCAGAAGTATTTTTGAATAAACGCATTAGGGACAGAAGGTCATGAACACTCCCCCAGTCCCAGTCCTCAGAACATTTTAAAACAAATATTTGACCACATCAAAGCTCTAAATTAATACTGTTGATGGACACTCTTCATCCTCAGAACAGAATTCCAACTCTTAACTACACTGGTTACCTCTGCCCTGTGTGAATTTGCTCCCATCCACCTCTCCAGTCACGCCCCTCCTACATCTGGTCGAATAAAACTTGACAGGAGTCCTTATTGCACAATGCACGGGCTGTCCTGACTCATGCCACGAGGCTTTCACTTCAGCTCCTCCTCTGACCGGTATGCCCTTTCCACTTTCCTTGCCTGGCTCCGTTCAGGCAATGACCTTCTCAAGCAAGCTTTCCCTCTTTGAATCCAGATCCTGATTAAGAACCCCAAAAAAGTACCAAGTAGAAAAGCTTATGGCGCTTCCCCCATTTATATGATTAAAGATGAAAACAATACCGGAGCGTGAAATGTAATTTAAAGAACGGCACACGATTGCATGTACACGCGATTTAGAAGTCGGTCTATATTTAACGATTTTCTTTCATTCAGCGTCTTTGCATGCATACATTTGCGCACGCCCCAGTTTCTATCGGATCACCCTCCGGTTAGGTCAAACGTTCTCTTCTGGGCCTTGCAGACACAACACTATCTCGACATTCATCATCTGAGAAAGCTGCAAAATTGCTTTCCTATGTGGAGGTGAGCTCCCGAGGTGGCGCTTACAGGATCTTTTCTCGATCAGACCCATTTTCTGAATTGAAGGGAACGCTCCTCCCCAGACAGCCAGCGCATTTCTTAACGAGCGGCTGGTTCTCTTCCCGCCCAGGAAATACAAAAACTGGCCTGCATCTATCAAGACTCGGCTCTGGGAAAAACAGACTGAAATATCAGCCGACCCTGAAAGTCAGGAAAAGGAAATGCTTTAAATTTCCGGGCCCAATGACAGGCCTAGGAACAGCGACAGCCAGAAGACCCATAGAGGAGGCGGGCCCAGGGAAGTGACTGGCACCGGAAGTCACGTGCGCGACTTAGGCCTAAATCCACAATCCCGGGGGTCGATTGCTCAGCCTTACGGACCGCTGGCGGGCTGCGCTGAGATCCAATCGTTCGGTGCTCGACTCGCTCGTGCTGCTGCCGCCGCCGAAGGAGGGGCAAAGCTCAAGATGGCGGACAAAACGCCAGGCGGATCTCAGAAGGCCAGTTCAAAGGTAATTTCTTAGAGGTCTTCATGAGTCAGTGGGTCTATGGCTGTCATCCAGGGTCTACAGACGCTTCCGGCTGGCGAGGGGTTGCTGGGGTGGGGGTCTCCGTTCTGGTCGCAACAGCAGGCCTGGGCGCCGCCGCACCGTGGTGCGCAGGTTTAGAGGCCTGATGTCCCCCTTCGGTCCCAGCCTGGATTCGGCTCGAGACCGGCGTGCCCAGGGGCTGGTGGCGTGTGTAGCTTGCCCCTTGCTTGGCACTGGAGTGAAGTCAGGGATTCAGAAGGAGACCTGAAGTCCTGAAAACGCGCCCTTGTGTCCCAGTCGGCTGGGCTCCGAGGCCACGGTCTAGCGCCCGGCAGAGGCGGGAATCGTCTCCCGGTGTTTGGGTGTCGGTTTCTTTTTGTCTTGGTTCTTTGGCTTTCGTGTCTTACCTGCTGTGGCCATCTTCGGTGTCCTCCATGCCCTCCAAGGAGTACGTGGGCTCTCGGGTGGCAGGTTTGTGGAGGGAGGACGGAGAGCGAGGGGACGCGGGGTGGGAAGTAGCTAGGCGGGAGCGGCCACCCTTGGCAGGGTTGCGTGGCCAAGGTTAACGCTGCGCTCTACACGTGGCCTTCACCTCCGTGGAGAGGAAGTGAAAAATGAACCCTCTTTCGGGAGGGTAGCAGAATCGGGGTCCCTCTCTCCGTGTGGTGTGTTCCACCGAAGGAAGAACTTCCGTGGACTTGGAAAATACCCAGTCAATTCCGCTTGAGTTTACAGGGAACGGAGCGCACATCTTGTGAAACCAGGGAGCTGTGGAAATAGTTTAGCGTCAATAAGGTTTTGATATCAGGTCTTAGTTGCCATCTTGGGCGGGTCATTTCATCGTTTTTAATTTTTTTTTAAAAAATGGTTTGTTTTGCGTTGAGTTTCTCATCTGGAATTCAATATTAGAATATTGCTACTGCCATGAAGTAGTCAGTTGGTGAGCAGTGAGATGCTGATGAAACAAGTTGTGTAACACTGAAAGGTTCTAGGGACTTACAGACTATGATTTTTAAGTCAGATACTAGGAAGTTTAGGTAGAAGAGGAGAGCCTCGGCTTTGCTCTTTGATCTGCGAGACATCACAATCTATTTTATTTTTGCTTTCTCAGTTTCTAATAAACGTGTCTTAATGCCATTTCTGGTAAATGATGTTCACCAAATTATTTAGTTTGTAATTGTTAATGTCCTTATCAGACATCCTCTAGTTAGGTGAAAGTATGTAGGTGGACAGTTTGGGGTGCTTTACATCAAATCTTTGCTTCATATCATTTCCATCCCTCCCCAGTAGATTTTTTTTTCCTTCTCCCCTTCCTTCAGAGAGAGAGAGAGAGGTGGCTTAAATTCAGTAGTACCTGACTCTATCCACTCTGCTGTTCAATAGATTTGTGATGAAAATAGCTCCACGTGCTGTTAGGGAACTGTTAGGAAAGCTTGCTACGTTTATGATAATTCACAATTTTTGTTTCTTCTCAAAGTATGAAGTATCCCGTCTTTGAGACCTTGGATACATTGCAAACATTTCAATGTGCTTGTTTAGTCTTCCTTCTAAAATAGTACTGATGGTTGTGAATGTGTGACTGACTGTTCCTTCTAAGTAAATTATTGGGTTTTCTGTTAATGAGTCTTACCATTTATAGCCCTTTAGATTATCATCTGTTGATGCTTTCAACAGATTTCTTATCCATGTCTGTTAAAAGGAATCAGAACCCACTCAAATCGTGTATTGGCGTGATTTCTCTGTTATTAGGGAAACTCCATGATGTAGTAGAAAGGTTATGAATTTTGATAACAAAAGATTTCCATTCAAATCCTGACTTGGTACTTCATTATATTTGCAGTAATATTAGGAAAATTGCTTAAACTCTTAAATTGCAATTTTCTCATTTGTGTTATAGATACATTCCCTGTTTTACAAGGTTGATATAAAGATTCGGTGAGTCAGTGTCTATAAAATGCATAACAAATATGGGTCTTCCTCTCTTCTGTTCCTAAAGGAAATAAAAAGTAATTGTTTTTTCAAAATGTCAGGATACATTGTGATCCAGAGAATTTGAATCTAAGTTATCAGCTGTTATAATGACTTCCCAGATTGCTGCTTTTTACTTCTAATGCAACTCCAGAATTTATTATAGAGATTATACAATCATTTTGGCTAGTATTACAGTATTTGGTATTTCTGGTCATTGATCTATGGTTTTATTTCCCTCTTCTGGAAAGAGCAGAGAAATGGCTTATATTCCACAGTACAGAAAGGGTGAACAGATACTTTTTTTTAATGCTCATTCTTCTTTGGTAGTTTAAATTTCCGTTGATATAGGCAGGGATGATTATTAATTATATTTCTTGACATTGAGGAAAACATTAATTTAAAGAAGTACGTAGCCCACACAGTTCAGTCCCAGTACCACAAAACAAAAAAATAACATGCAGGATTTTTGCCATTGACAATAGCAAAATCGTTAACATCTCTTTAATTATAGGTAACTGCTACAGTTTCTTCTAGCTAGCTTCAAAATTACATTTTTACAAATGTGTGCCAAGTGACTTACCTATATGTATAGTTGTCTATAATGAAAAGACCTCCAGGCTCTTATTTTCTGTGTAATTTTATTTCTTTTTTGTAGCATGGATTGAACCCAGGGGCACTTAACCACTAAACTACATCCCCAGCCCTTTTTATTTTTTATTTTGAGAGAGGGTCTCACTAAGTTGCTTATTAGGGCCTCGATAAATTGCAAGGCTGGCTTTGAACTTGTGATTCTCCTGCCTTGGCCTCCTGAGCTGCTGGGGATTGCAGGCATGCTATCATGCCTGCTTAGTATATTTCATTTTAAAGCCTGGCAGATTTGGACATTCAGTAAATGTTTTGGAAATGAACTAAAATTTCCTATGCATTTATTTCTGTTTAGACTAAACAGGATAGACTAAACCTAATATTAATTGGGTAAGACAGGAGTTTAGTGCCATATTAGAGCTTTGATTTTGAAAGGGGAGAGGGAGAGACATGCCCCGGGAGGGGTTGCTGAAAGCACTCCCTCTTATCATTGTGAGCTTATAAAATTGTTAAACATATTTCTTTAGAATTTAGTTTATAAAAATTAATATAACATTTTGAATTTCAGTTTTATTGTTTGTATGCTCAGCCAAAGGAGGCTATAAAGAGAATCTGGTATTTCCTTTTTCTTCTGTGCTGGTAATATTGATAATATAATGGAATTGTGTGCCCTGTTATTTCACTCTGATGGTACCTGTTTTTTTTTGGTCATATTATAATAAATTGGGTTAAAAAGGTAAATGGATAAAATAGGAAACACTACTGGCTTCCTTGGACATAGAATACTGAAATGCTTTGAACTATTGTCTGCCTTTGCTGATTAACAAAAAAATCACCTAGAGAAAAAAAAAAAGGTAAAATGAGGACCTTTTCTAGACTTGTGATCCTTATGTATTTGTTATGACTGTTGATATGGTTTTTTAAAGTTCTTACAGGACTGAATTGATGGTTTTCTGAAATTCCAGCATTTGTTTTCTTTTGGTTGTTGTTTCTGAAACTTTTTTCTTGGAGAGTAAGCCTAAGAAAGAGAGCCATTTGCCTTGGTTGCAAATGAGAGAGTTCATTTGGCATACATGTTAAAGACTCCTGCACCTTTGTACAATGAGCAGCACTTTTGAAAGAAAAATAAAACTTGGTGCAGAACTTTCAAATAACAATAATATTACAAAAATTCGCCTTATATAGTTTTAACATTCGTTGCATACCAGCCAAGTACTGGATATTTTGCTGAAATGACTTTTTTTTTTTTTTTTTTATTCTGTAGATCAAATCCCAGGACCTTGCATATGCTAAGTGCACTGGCAGTCTTGAAACAACTTTTCAGATACATTTGCCAGTAACACTTGAGGCTGTTGTATTCCTTGAGAAGTTAACCACCTCTCTTAATACTATAGGACGAAGTGTACTTAAAGCTTTTATATATTGGTATATTGGTAGTGTTTTGGATGTAATTTTAAAAAATCATGTTAGATTGTTATGTAACTATATTACATATAGTGCAAATCTTAATGCTCTTACAAAGTTTTTTTATTTTTTGAGAGGTAAAACCTTGGTTTGGCTTGAGTAGTGGTATTAAGCCAGGTAGCTGCTATTTGTTAATGAGTAGACAACATAGTGTGTTGACAGTGTGGGGTATAATTTTGTTTGGTAGGTACTTGTTTAGATAGGTTAAGTCAACAAGTGTATTGAGGCTTTTGTCAGATACTGTGCTTGCTGTTAAGGTAAAAAAAAATTTAAAGAAACGACAAGAAAAAAGGATATTAAATTAGTCTGTTCCTACTCCTTGGAAGCATGCTTTCTAGTAGGAGAGAGCTAACTCACATAATAGTACAAGGCAGTGCTCTCAGAAGTGTCTAAAAGTAGGGAGATGACACATTAGAGCTTGGGAGAAGGCAGCTTCAAGAGTATCGTGGAATTTGGGTCCTTTGAGCAGTGAGGAGAGTCTCAAGGGTATAGATAGGAGCATTAAAAGGAGAGGGATGAGGTGAAGAAAATAAATAGGTAGGAAATAGATTGAGAAGTGCTCTGATTTAATCGACATAGGGCACTTACTTGGGTATAAAGTGAGTTAAAGACTGGAAAGATAAGTTTGGGTTTAACTATGGAGGACTTTGAATGCTAGGGAATAAAATTAGAGATCTGGGAGAAATTTTAGGCAGGAAAGTCCTTTAGGAGAGCTCTTCTGAAGTCATAGTTTAGGAAGGATTTAAGGGTTAGGACCGATTTGGAGGTTATTACAGTGGTGTTGCACATTTTGAAGATTGCTTAAAAAAAAAAAAAATCACACCTCAAGATCCTGTCCCAGGAAGCTTTCCCTGACAATCCTCATTTCCCTACCCAATTAAGATTTGCCTGCCTTCTGTGCTCTTGTGACATAGCCACATTGTTTTACTTGGTTTTTAAATCCATTCCTAAGTACAGGAGCTGTATCTTATTTTACTTTGCAAGGCACAGTAGCATTTATCTAATGCAAGGCACAGTACCAGCCTAGGAAGTATTCAGTAAGTGATTAATTGAAGGGAAGATCTAAATCAAACAAAAGGTCTCTATGCAAGATTTATGTTAAGTCTCACAGTTTCACTCAGCTGATTAGGAAGGTGTCCAGGATGACTCTGTTAGAATGCTGCTGCTGCTGGTTAACACTGAGCAATTATTAAGTTAACATTTTTCTAAGAGCTTCACCTGTATTTGCATTTCACAACAATCTTGAGATGGTGCTATTCAGTTTCACATATGAAGAAACTAAGGAGAAGCTAGTTTAGGAGGAATTTTAGATATGTGAGATTTGAGAACCTTGCAGACACATAGGTGAAGACATCCAGGAGACAGTTTGAGAATAGATTGAAATCCACGAGATGACCAAAATTGAAGATCAAGAACTGGAAATCATTTTTGTATAATAAAGGTGCTGATGTATTTCCTTTGGGAGAAATTGTTCAACTTTGGATGAAAATTTTGATGCTTTTAGAGGGCAAGGCATTTAGGAGATGGAATGGTGAGCTGGACAGGCAGGAGTGGTGGTGAGGAACATTGCTGTGCATAGCCTGCTAATTTGAAAACTTAGGTGTGCTTTCATTTGAAGTAAAGTAGGAGCAGCAAGATAAAATGCTAGTTTTTATTCTTGGCCAATAACATACAGGGCCATATATATAGTTGGCTTTACATTTATCACCTTAGCAACCAATACAGTGATTGATCTTTTTGAATTTTCTTATTTTTGCTGTCCTAAGATAAAGTTCTTACATCTGCTTCTTTTTTTTGCCTTAAGCTTTCCTTATTCTGCCCTTTAATTTCTTGCATTTGAGTCTTTTCATCTGGATGAGGAATTGTGTTATAAACTTCAGAAGATATTTAAGCATCATTGATTTGTGTTCTTCAGTTGAGGAAAAACAACTGAAGACAATACAGTTCAGGTGTAGGTTAAGAAGAGGGAGAGGCTCGTTGTCTGTGGTGGTACATTTACTGTTGACTTCAACCACTAGTTTTTGAAATTGGTTATCCTTTTAAAAACCTTATTAACAGCTGCTTGCATCTCTCTGTTAATCTTAGTTTTTTTTTTGTTTGTTTTTGTTCTAAAAACGTTCCATATCTGCATATCAGTGGTAAATGTCTGCTTTGCAGTAAATATAACCATGACTTTTTAGGTTAATCGAAATTGGCTGATTCATTATTCTAAGCCATGCTGTTACTGATTTGTTTGCAAATTCATAGTGCTACTTTTGAACAGATTACTTTCAGAGATCATTCACCAATTTGGTGGAAGGTTATTCATGTGATAGTCTTGATTAAATTATGACTACAGGACTTGGCGTCATGAAAGAGTTAACTCTGTGGAAATAGGTTCTTGTGACTCAGTTTTAAATCCTAGAAATTGATGATTTGGATGTGGCACCAGTAGAATAAAGGCTGTTCCTTTCTTAGCTACTCTCTTGCATGCTTCTTATTCTTGTGTTAGAACTCTTTTCCAATTCCTTTACCCCCGTGCAAAGATTTCCCTTTGGAATTTTGAGTTCTTGAATGAAATTGTATTAAAATATATAAATAAATGTGAGTATCATTCACATAGTTTTAATATTGTCTTTTTCCATACAGGAATATTAGTCTTCAAAAAGTGACTTGGATTTCTTAAAGTGTTTTTTGTGTGTTTTATGTTTTTTTGTTCCTGTCATTACAATATTGTGTTTGTTACCTAGCAGGTTAATACTGGTGTTTAGGAAGGCTTTTTTTTTTTTTAAAGTCCATTCAGCCTCTTCACTTAGTTTGTGTTCCTTTTATTATCTTGGATTTTCTAATTTTTAGAATTCTGTAAATAGGTGTATTTCAAATTGTATTTCAAAGAATGTTTCACAAAGTTGAAATGTAAAAATGCTTATTCTTTTATACTATCTTGATTATTAAGAAAGCTCAGCTGGGAGAAGAAAATGAATGGGAAAGGCACAGTAAAGTTGAGGACAGGAAAATGATGGACAGAAAGAATGAAGATGGGTGATATCTCAATGCAAGCCTGTTTTGGGCTAGTTTTTGCCTAGGGCTCAATACAGTGGAGTTCTGGGAGTAAATTGAGTTAGAAAATCAGATCAGCTGCTTTTAGTCTTATGTTGGGACAAGGTAAATAAAGCAATACTTCATGAACTCATGAATCTTCCTGTATTTGCTCTTTTCTAAAACAACAAATGTTTAATTTGCTTTAGAAAATTAGTGTGTATTTTATTTGAAATCTAGAACTGGGAGCTAGGGTCAGGTGAGATATTTGTGATTTTAAGATTCTTGCTTTCACTTTTAACACTGAAAGAAAATCTCACTTTAACACGGAAGTAAAATCTTACCATGCAGTATCTTCAAAAAAAAAAAAAAAAAAACATTAGTGACAAAGTTAAATTCTTAGTCTCCATGTAAAACTTTCAGAAAGGTACCATGTATTATTCAGCTAATAGCCTTGCAGCCTGGCTTTTTTGTCCCTAGATGTTTTTTTTTTTTTTTGAAAACAACAACAAATTATTTTGTGCCATGTGTAGTCTGAGATGTAAATCAGTTAAGAAAAAAATAAGATGAAATTTTAATGGTCACCATTGTTGGAAACTGCCATTATCTGAGGATTTAACCCTATAGGTGCAGGGATCTCTACAGTCAGTCCTTGACATGATGAATTAGAAGCAGGTCTCTTAAAACAAGTTGCAAATGGTGACCTATTGGGGATTTGGTATTATAATTTTTCCTTTTTTAATAGTAGACTTTGTACCTTTTTTCTAGATAGCAATGGTTTTATATATGGATTTTCTTGCTGTTAAGAGTCTCTTCATGTGGCTTTCAGTTGTTGGCAAAAGGGAAGTTTTTTTTGTTTTGTTTTGGGGTTTTTTTTTTTTTTGGCTGTGGATCAAGATGTTGCTGCTTTAGGCAATGTTGGAGCAGTAGTCTGTCTTATGACTTGGGAAGAGCTTTTGCACCAAAATCCTTTGTAAAAATGATGGATATGTTTCTAGTCTATACTATATAAAGGTAACTATTCCTCAGATACAGTCCATTAACATTTATATTACATTTTTGGAAATATGATTTCTGAATTTTAAAGAATTGATTTGCACATTTATCTTGAATCTCAACCTTTTCATAAGTCAGAGATTTCCCTTGTTCAATTTTATTAGCTGAGAAGGAATTGCTAAAAGTTAGGGAAGATTAAATCCATATCACTTAAGAAACTATTAGTTTAACAAGACTTTTTTATCTTTTAAATATTGACTTTTAAAAAAACTTTTTTAATATTTGTAGACCAGATCATCAGATGTTCATTCATCTGGCTCTTCAGATGCACATGTGAGTATAAAAGACAGTCTTGTCTTTTTCCTTTAAAAAGTAAATATAATTTTTCTTTGTGTATATATCTCCATGCCTATGACTTTATATGGTAAGTAAATACATTTACACTGTATGCACATTTTTTTTTCTTTTTCCCTCTTATTTTGTGTTCTTACAAACTTAATATGTATGTTTCCTTATTTTTTTATTGTGCTTATAAAGTTTTGTGCACATATAAATGTGTGTACTTAGATACTGTGGGATTGCAAAATTTGGACACTTTTTTTTCAGTGTACATTATACCTGTTGAAATTTTCTGCATGGCAGCTGGCATGCTCTTATCTGTTCTTTCTAATGGCATCATAATGTTGGAGAAGTACAATTATTTATTAAGCTATTTTGGTGTTGGTAGACACATAAACTTTTTGTTTAAAGCTTTTTGACATTTTTTAAAAATGATTTTATTTATTTATTTTTTTGTGGTGCTGAGGATTGAACCCAGTGCCTCACACATGCTAGGCAAGTACTCTACCACTGAGCTACAGCCACAGCCTGCTTTTTGACATTTTGAATGTTGCAATAAATAATTCTTTATGTATGTATGTTATTACAGCAGTTTTCACAGTGTGCTTTGTAGACCTCTAGGGGTTGTTAAGAATCTCTTCCGGGGTCTTTGAGTTCAAAACTAAAGCATTAGTTACTTTTCTCACTGTTTTGATATTTGCACTGATGATGCAAAAGCAGTTGGTGGGTAAACTATTGGCTTTTTCCAGTTAAAGAATCAGGGAAGCGGTGCCAAAACTGCTAGTCATTTTGTTCCTTCCCACCAGGCACAATGAAAAATGCTAGTTTCACTTAAGAATGTTTTTAGTGAACCAATAAAATTAGTAGTATTATTATTAAGCCTTGACTTGTATGTGGGTCTTTTTAATAGTGTGTGATGAAACGAGTATAACACTTATCCTTACCAAGATGTGATGTTTGTCCTGTGGAAATTACTTGCGTGAGATTGAGTTGGGGAATGAAGCTAGCTGCTTTTTGCATGCAATACCATTTTCACTTGAAGAAACAACTGATACATAAACTATGGTTAGTCAGACCTGGGTATTTGGTAGACATTTTCTTAAAAATGAAGAAAAGAATCTGTTTTTTAAAGAATAACAATTGATTTTTACCACTATATATGTGCTTTCAAGTGGGAGTTAGAATTATTGAAAACTTGGCCCTGTTCTTAAGGATTTTGCTAATGATATCAAGGGTGATTGCAGCAGTATAAGGAACATGGTTTTTGGTAATCTATAATAAAATTTGTCATGACTTTCAGATCATTTCTAGTTTTCAGTATTATATACATGATTTTAAAAGAATTTTTTTTTTTAACTTTCCTGAAGATGGATGCATCTGGACCCTCAGATAGTGATATGCCAAGTCGGACTCGGCCTAAGAGTCCAAGAAAACATAATTATAGGAATGAAAGTGCCCGTGAGAACCTTTGTGATTCTCCTCATCAGAATCTCTCAAGAGTGAGTATTCATAGATAGGAAAGGATAGTTAATGATTTTAATTTATCCTTGATTGAATTTGATGATGAAATATTTGGTGTTTTACTTGTTTCATCTTGTCATGTTAGAAAATAACATTTTTTGTTAATAATAAACTCAAGTTCATATAAGAATGTTTTTTTAGTTTATATGAGATGTTTCATTTACAATACTTAATGATATTTTAAAAACAAAGCATTTTAGATGTATGGTGGCTATTGTCAAATTTATCTTTACCCCCTTGTTCATTGAACCAAGTGCCAAATACCAGTCACTGGAAATATATAGATGATTAAAACTTAGTCCTCATTCTTAGAGAGCTTATGGTCTTACCCTGGGAAGCAAGTAGGAGCAGGTGCTGTCTGCTGGTAAGTGTAATGCCTGGGGCATTCAGGAATAGAGAGAGGGAACATATTTTCTCCTACATCTGCAAAATACTCTTGGGCTTTTTTAGTTTTTAATTTATTTAACATAACTTTTTTTTCTGATTAAATTCAGAAAATATAATAATATAATCATCACCAGCTAGTCTAAAGCATCAGTGACACGTTTTTTCTTGTTTAATATTTCTAAGCATAAATATTTCTGAGATCCATTTTACAGCAACACGTCTTTAAAATATCCTGTTTTCAATCTAATGTTTTTTTTCATTTCAGTAAAACTCTGTAAACAAACTTTTCAGTGGATGACTGTTATTTCTTTGAGTAAACACTCTTTGATTTCCTTAGCTATTTCTCTCTTGGATGTCTAAATGTAGCTCTTCAGATATAAATAAAGCTTGAGTGCAGAAATTTTGTTTTGTTAAATTATGGTTTTCATCCAATTTAAATGTAATTTTATCATTCATTTAAACTTTTGAAGATGATTCCAGAAACACTGAATGACAGCAAAATATTTTTCTTTCCACTTTGAGGGGGAAAAATTATTTTAGATCTGTTTCTGAAACCCAGCATTGACTTTCAGCTTATAAACTGCTTTCTTTTTCTCAAGGGGACTTTATTTTTAATTAATATATATAATTTTGGTATTGTCAGGGGCGTTTAACCACTGAGCCACATCCTCAACCCCTTTTATATTTTATTAAGAGATAGGGTCTTGCTAAGTTTCTTAGGACCTCACTAAGTTGCTAAGGCTGGCTTTGAAGTTGCAATCCTTTTGCTTCAGCCTCTGGATCTGCTGGGATTACAGGCCTGTGCCACTGCGCCTGGCTATTTGAAAAAATTGTTTTTGTGGTGCCAGATATTGAACCCAGGCCTCATTCATGCCAGGTAGTGCCTTACCCCTTAGCTATATCTTAAGTCCCAGAAACCTTCAAATTTCAATATTTTACGTTGTGTTTAATAAAGAGTTCTATCTTTTAAGTTTATGAATCAAATGAGTAACTGATTGAGCAACTAGAAATCTGTAGACAATATATTTACGCCTATTTTAGAAAGAAATTCCATCTAAGTTACATATATGAAGACTTCATTAAAATGTTATTTTCTTATGTATATTGAGTGTCCCTTATCTGAAGTGTTATGCATTTTGAGTTTTTTCAGATTTTGGAATATTTGCATATACATAATGCATTACCCTTGGGGATGGGACCCAAGTCTTAAACAAGAAATTTATTTAGGGCTAGGGTTGTAGCTTGGTGGTAGAATACTCACCTAGCTTGTGAGGCACTGGGTTCGATCCTCAGCTTCACATAAAATAAATAAATAAAATAAAGGTATTTGTGTCCATCTATAACTAAAAAAAATTTTAAAAGAAATTCATTTATGTTTTATATAAATTTTATACTTATAGCCTGAAGATAATTTTGTTTAATCCTTTTATTGTACCTAGGTTTTGACCATGACTAGTCACACGAGATCAGGTGTGGAATTTTCCACTTATGGCATCATATTGATGCTCAGAAAGTTTCCACTTTGGTATGCTCAATGTGTATTCAAATTAATTGATGCAATTTTACTTGAGATGAAATGTAAAATTAAGTGATATGTTTCCAGCAAAGAAAAATAAGATTATTATGTTCATAAATGCATTACTGTTGAAGAATGAGGTAACTTACTAAATTATAAAAGGACATGATATATTTATAGTATCTTGAAATGGAGGGCTATAGATGGTTAATTCCTGAACCATAGAAAAATGTATCCCTTCCTCTGTATTTGAGGATCTGTTTTTTTTTTTTTTTAATCATTGCTACTTTTGCCCAGAGACTTACATTTTCCCTCTTCAGGTGCTTTTATTCTTGTCCTATACCTTGCTGTCAGTCTGTTTGTTTTGTTTTTACCTTAAAGAGGAACAAAAAGGCCTTGAGATGCTATTGACCTTGAGTTAGCAAATAAACCATTCTTTAATGAATAGGTACTTATATCAGAGTCAGGTCCAAGGCAGGCACCTAATACTAGAGTAATCCTAACTTTTCTTTACGGTTAATTAAAAAAAAAAAAATAGCCTGTCTCAGAGACTTGGTTATCAGTTGAGGTGTATTAAATTTAAAGATAGCATTAAGAATGTGTATGTAAAGACATGCTCTTTATTTCTTCTTGTAGCCTCTTCTAGAAAACAAACTTAAAGCATTCAGCATTGGAAAAATGAGCACAGCTAAGCGAACTTTAAGTAAGAAGGAACAAGAGGAATTAAAGAAAAAGGTAATGTTTAAAATATATCTTCAAAATGTGAATATGTCTTGGCAGCACAGCAATGTTTCCCAAAGATTTTTGACTTCAGGGGTGTTCTCAGTTCATCCCCAAGACAAAGTCTGTCCCAGGAAGGTGTATTAGAGGTATATTCACTTTCCATCCCTGTCCCTTTTGACCTATTTCCTCCCTTGTATGTAACAATTTTTTTTTCCCTGATCTTTCTGTATAGGGAAATGTGTTGTGTGCATAAGTTGTACTCCTCTTAGAGGAATCACAGCAAGCTATATATATAGAATACTGCATGTTGCTTTTTGAAAAGTTTATATCATAGATATTATTATGGAAATATTTATTATCCTTTTACCAGCTATGCAGATATGCAGTTGTTTACTTCACATAAAAAATTACTGAGGGCATTTGTGTTTTGGTCTCTTGCCATTACATGTAATGCTGTGCTATTATGGATAGTGTTATGCATGTGTTTTTTTGTTTTGTTTTGTTTTGCTAGTGTATCTTTGGGATATATTCCTAGGATGAAAACTACTAGGCTGAATAATAAATGCATAAATGTAGTTCTCCTATATTTGTCATATTGTCAAAATCTCTATAGGGTGGGGGGTGTTTTGATTCCTATGAGTACATGTGAGTGTTTTTTTTCCAATGGCTTTGCAAGTGGATGACATTAAAGATACTTTGTCAGTCTCCTAGGTGAAAATAATTTCTTGGTATAGTTTCAAGTTTGCATTTCTCTTATGATAAACTTGACCCTTTTTCCTTTCTTTTCAACTGTCTGCTAATATCTGAACTATAAGTTTCTACTAACACTTTGTTTATGATTTAACTTGCAGTGGTTTTTATCCCCTATTTTTTTGATTCTTTTAAAAATTTCCTTCTGATATTGTAATATAATCAATCTTTCCCTATGATTTCTGATTTTTCAGTTGTTTTCTCCATTCTTAGCTTATAAAAGAATTTCCTCATGTTTTCTTCTAGTACTTCTATATTTAATTTTAAGAAAATCAAATTGATTCATTGGCAGTTTATCTGGTAACATCGTGTAAAAAGTTGATTGATTTTTATCTTTTTCAAATGGTTGTCTAGTTATCCTAACATCATTTATTGAAAAGTTCATGTATTTCTCACTGTCCCTTTGACCTGTTTCCTCCCTTGTATGTAACAATTTTGAGATATTCCTCTTATAAATGGTAAATTTAAATTTACCTATTTTCTGTCCTGTTTTCTTTTTGTTCATACATGCTTTGGGAACATTTAAAATATCTATAATTGAAAATGTCAAGGTTCATTTTTTCTTCAGTGCTGTGTGTCTGGAATAGATTGTTGCTTTTACTTCATATATTATATCTTCATTAGTTTGAAAAGGAAATCATTATATTCACTGAATTAAGTCATCATGCCTTGGAAACTTTGTAAATGTTGGTTGTATTACGTGCAGTGAGTTGTTTTATGGTTTGGCCTTTGGATCGTCCCTAAGCAAATTTACTTGCTGTTCTATATGTAGTGGGTTCTTTTCTGTTCTACCAATTGCTACTAAAGGAGCAGAGCTTCTTTTAGTTTTAGTATTACTTAATATCTGATATCTATTAAGACTTAGATATTATAACTATAAATATTTAACTTGAAAAGGGAAGTGTTTTATCTTCATTATTCCTTGATGAGTTTAATCACATATACAATAATACTTTTATAATATGTTATTAATATTTTGTTATGTATTTAGGAGGATGAAAAGGCAGCTGCAGAGATCTATGAGGAATTTCTTGCTGCTTTTGAAGGAAGTGATGGTAATAAAGTGAAAACATTTGTGCGAGGGGGTGTTGTTAATGCAGCTAAAGGTGAGTATCAGTATTTTAGTCCTTGAGCAAATCCTGTCTTGGTTGAAAGATTGCAGGTAGATAATTATGGAAGAAGCCCGTTTGACTTTCCCATTTCCTTTCTATTAGCACCCTCTAGTGGTTATATTAATTAGCAAAATCAATGGCCAGATGTGACTTAGTAAGGTGATATTGAAGCCAGATAATTAAAAAAAATTAATACATTTCAGGATTTAAGATAGCCAAGCACTTTGCAAAAATTTTAATGTATTTAATAGTTTACTGTAAAGTGAGTATATATTTTGGGGGGTATGGTGGTATTTCAATTTAATTACATGTTAACAGTGATAAATATTAGTACTAATACTGTTAATTTTTATTTATTTTTAAATAAGAATAGTAAAGAAAATCAAATAGTATAAAATTAGTTTTGAAACAGCATTTTACATTTCAGAAGAACATGAAACAGATGAAAAAAGAGGTAAAATCTATAAGCCATCTTCAAGATTTGCAGATCAAAAAAATCCTCCAAATCAGTCGTCCAATGAAAGACCACCATCTCTTCTTGTAATAGAAACCAAAAAACCTGTAAGTCATCCTTAAATAATTTAGGTTCAAAGATGACACTCCCAGTGATACTTTCAGTACTACCGCTGTAAGCAGATTGTTTTTAATTTTGGGGGGGTAGATGTTGAGTTCTCATGTTTTCTAACCCAGTAATTTATGTAGATGAGAGATTATAAGAGTAGGCCATATAGATGAACATTGTTTGTTGTACTTACACATTACATATATTGCAAGTCAAAAGTTGTCTGCATTTGGGGTATAAATGTAAAATAAAGAAGTTAACTTTAGAATAAATTCTGAACTGAGGTATTTAAATTATTAACAGTGTGTAGTGTATGTTTTCCAAGGCATTTTTGAACTTTTTTGTGGAATTGCTATCAGAATTAGTGACACTGTATCTTAAATATTCTCAGTGTTTATAAAAATTTGTATTCTTTGATGGTGGGGTTTTTATGGGGAATAGTAGATGTGGGTAATGTCATTTGAAGCCATATTTGGTGAGTAAGTATGATTAAATTGAACAGTGAGATTGATTTTTTTTTCCAGTTTTTATTTTTGTTTCCATATTTTTTGTTGGTACATTACAATTATATATAATAGGTTTATGACGTTCATACATGTATATTATTTGACAGTATAGTTACGTCAGTATCATTCCTGAGTTTTTCCCCTTTCTTCTCCCCCCCTCTACCTGGTACATTTCCTTTACTTTTTGGTCTCCTGTTTTTATGAGACATCTATACCCTACCATTTGTTTTTTCTATTTTCCCTTCTTTCACATATGAGAGAAAACATGATCCTTGACTTTTTGAGTTTTGCTTATTTTGTTTAACATAATGCTCTCAAGTTCTATCCATTTTCTTGCAAATGACATAATTTCTTTCTTCTTTATGGCTAAATAAAACTTGTATATATTTATCACATTTTCTTTACCCATTCATTCATTGATGGGCACATAGGATGGTTCCACAGTTTGTCTGTTGTGATTGTGCTACAATAGACATGAGTATTTGTGTGTTGTATTGTTACTTTAATTCTTTAGAATAAAAACTAAGGAGTGGTATACCTGGGTCATATGGTAGTTCCATTCCTAGACTTTTGGAGGAGGTTCCAACTTGATTTCCACAGTGTTGTACTAATTTACAATTCCACCAAAAGTGTAAAGGTTGCTTTTTCTACACATCCTTTCCTGCATTATTATTGGGTGTATTCTCTTTTTTTTTTAATATATTTTTTTAGTTGTAGATGGACACAATACCTTTATTTTTATGTGGTTCTGAGGATTGAACTCAGTGCCTTCCCACATGCGAGGAAAGCACTCTTACCACTGAGCTACAACTCCAGTCGCCTTGTGTGTATTCTCTTTTTAAAAAAATGTTTATTTTTTAGTTGTAGTTGGACACAATACCTTTATTTATTTATTTTTATGTGGTGCAGAGGATTAAAGCCAGGGCCTTGCATGTGCTAGGCGAGTGTTCTACTGCTGAGCCACAACCCCAGACCCCTTGTGTGTATTCTTGATGGATGCCATCCTAAGTGGAATGAGGTGAAATCTCAGTGTAGTTTTGATATACATTTCCCTAATTGCTAATGATGAACATTTTTTCATATTTACTGTCCATTTGTATTTATTATTTCTTTTGAGAAGTATCTGTTTCGTTCATTTACCCATTTATTAATTGGGTTATTATTATTATTTTTTAGTTCTTCTGATATTAATCCTCTGTCAGAAGAGTAGCTTGCAAAGATTTTAAAGAGTCTTATTGAGAGGGTTGTTGTGTGCACCAAGATGTTAGAGTGTTGACCCTGTGTTTTCTTCTAGGAATTGCATAGTTTCTGGTCTAATTTCTAGGTCTTTGATCTATTTTGAGTTGACTTTTGTGTGAGGGGCGAGAGAGAAGGATCTAGTCTCATTCTTCGATATGCGGATAGCTAGTTCTCAGCACCATTTGTTTAAAAGGCTCTCTTCTCCAGTGTATATTTTTGGCATCTTTGTCAAGGATCAGATGACTATATGTGTGTGGGTTTGACTTCGTGTCTTATATTCTGTTCCATTGGGCTATATGTCTGCTTTTATGCCAGTACCATGCAGTTTTTGTTACCATGGCTCTGTAGTATAATTGGAAGGCAGGTATTATGCTTCCAGCATTGGTTTTTTTTTTTTTTTTTTTTGGCTTAGAAGTGCTTTGGCTTGTCTGGGTCTTTTATTCTTCCAAATGACTTTAGGGCTATTTTGTTCTAGTTCTGTAAAGAATGTCATTAGTATTTTGATGAGGATTGCATTGAATGTGTTAATTGCTTTTGGTAATATGGCCCTTTTATTAACGTTGATTTTATACTTCTATCTTCTAGTGTCTTTTAAAATTTCTTTCATCAGTTTTCTATACTTTTCATTGTCAAAGTCTTTCTCTTCCTTGGTTAGATTTATTCCTAGATATTTTATTTTTTGAGGCCATTGTGAATGGAATTATTTTCCCTATTTCTTTCTCAACAGATTCATTGGTGATGTATGAGAAAGCTATTGATTTTTGTATGTTGATTTTGTATCCCGTGAGGCTGAGTTTTCTTGTAGTGTTTCAGATACTCCAAAGTATTTAAAAAATAATTATTGACAAAATCTGTCCTTTTAAGGTGTACAATTAGGTGGTTTTTTAGTATATTCATGGTTGTTCAATGGTCCCCTCTCTCCAATTTCAGAACATTTTTATCACTCGCCAAAGAAATTCTGTGCCCAGAGTTAGTTGTCCCCATTTCCCTCATACTCTAGCTCTTAGCAAGCACTGATCTACTTTCTATCTTTGGATTTCCCTATTCTGAGCAGTTCATACAGATGGGATCATCAACATGGTATTTTGGGTGTGGCTTCTATTCTCAGCATGTTTCAAGGTTCTTGTGGCATGTGTTAATATTTCAGTCCTTTTTTGTGGTCAAACAGTATTCCACTCTATGATATACCACATATTGTTTATCCATGTGGTTCTTGATGGGTTCATTACTTGATGGGTTGTATCCCCTTAACAGGTGTTACTATTAAAAAAAAAAAAGTAATACGGCTGTAAATATTTATATATGGCTTTTTGTGTGGGTGTAGGTTTTTAGTTCTTGTTAAATTCCACATATGGAATTACTGGGTCACATAGTGACTCTCTGACCTTTGGAGACACTGCCAAACTGTTTTCCAAAGTTTTGTAATCTTGCCTGTAATGTATGTTGGTTCTAATTTCCCTGTATCTTAACCAGCACTTGTTAAAATTATTTCTGTCGTGTTTGTGAAGTTGTACCTCATTTTTATTTTGAGACACAGTTACCTAATGATGTTAAGCAGCTATCTTTTCATGTGTTTATTGTCCATAATCTTTGAAGAAATAGCTATTCAAATCCTTGGCCCATATTTTAATTGGATTGTCTTTTTATTTTTGAGTTTTTAGACTATTTTATATTTTCAGGAATCAAGTTTCTTACTGGCTCCGTGGTTTGTAAATGATTTCTGTTCTGTGGCTTGGCTTTGCCCCCTTTTTCAGCGGGTGGGGGTGATGAACACTGGAAATTGAACCTTGCGGTACTTTACCACCGAGCCTCACCCCCAGCCCTTTTTATTTTGGGACAGGATCTCACTAAGTTACTTATGGCCTCACTAAGTGAGATTGGTCTTAAACTTGTGATCCTCCTACTTCAGACTCCTGAGCTGCTGGGATTACAGGCATATGCTGCTGTACCCAGCTACTCTTCTTGATTAAACATGGAATTGGAAAATTTTAATTAGATGTTGTCATTTGTGCTTTTGATATCATATATCTAAAAAAATCATTGCCTAATTCAGTGTCATAAAGATGACATTATTCCTGTTTTCCTCTAAGAATTTTGTTTGTTTTGCTTTACATTTAGGTCTATTTGCTATTTTGAGATAATTTTACATATAATGTGAAGTAGGGGTATATCTTCATTCTTCTGCATGTAGGTAATTTATTGTCCTAGCACCATTTGTCGAAAAGACTATTCTTCCCCATTGAATTATCTTGGGAGTAGATTTTACTCATTGTTTCAGTAATTTATATCCTCCAAAAGTGATTGCTTTGAATTGCTCATATTTTCAGCAGTTGTTTATGGCAGTTATTTAACATGGCAGTTCATTTAATTTACTTACTGTTTTTGAATTCCATGCCCCACATACTTTTTTCAGGACTACTTATTAGTAGCTTTTTTATTCACTAAGACTACTACTTGTTGTTTTAACTAATCATTTTAATAATTTAATTATTTACTTGTTGTTTTGGGGGAACAGGAAGAATATAGGGAATATTCAATAAGAGAAGTATTCTCCCTTTTGAGTTTAAATAACTAGAATATGTAATGAAACTGAAGTAAAAATGATTTAAATATGATCTCGTACAACAGTTTTTTTGAAATCTTACTTTGTTTGAATTGTCATTGTCACAGCCACTGAAGAAAGGGGAGAAAGAAAAGAAAAAAAGCAACTTGGAACTTTTCAAAGAAGAATTAAAACAGTAAGTTTTATAATAAGAAGAACTATCATAGGTATATTGAACTGATACTTAGAAATGCAGGTATGAGGAATATAGTTATTATTAAAAGCTTGCTATGAGGTTATTTTAGATATCATAAAGATATTTGATGGGGCATATTTGAAATGAATTAGCATTTAGTCCAGCGTCAAGTTTGCTTGGATTATGTGGATGCAGTTTTTTTTATTTAATGACGGGAGTTCTATTTGCAGTAGAAGCAGTGAACTCACTGGTATAGGAGTGAGGGGTGGTTAAGCATAACAAGAAACAACAAATTCAGTGGTTTTAATGTTCAATTTCCTTTTTACCTTAAAAGTGGGCTTTGTTTTCCATCGCTGGAATGATAGAAATAGGGACTGTCTAATCTTGGTTATCATTACAATATTTGAGTTAAATACAATATTTCAGGCTATTTGAAGGTGACACTTGGATAGACTCTTATTAAATGTGAATAAGCGAATTGTGGCTCATTTTTATTGGTAAATATTTTTAACAGAATTCAAGAAGAGCGTGATGAGAGGCATAAAACAAAAGGCAGGTTAAGTCGATTCGAGCCGCCTCAGTCCGATTCTGATGGTCAGCGTCGTTCTAGTAAGTGACATTTATTTTATTGTGTGTATTTGCACTTAATTATACTGACAATTAAGAATTATTTTCTTTCCTTTCTTTTAAGTGGACGCGCCTTCCAGGAGAAATCGATCATCTGGTGGTAATACCGTTTTTTTGCTTTTTTAATTAAGAAATTATCCAAGCTTTGTGTTTTGGAAGTTATAATGTTTTTTTCTTTTCTGCCCTAGTTCTTGATGATTATGCACCAGGCTCACATGATGTAGGCGATCCGAGTACTACTAATTTATACCTTGGAAACATTAATCCACAGGTAATATTAGTTAAATAATATTGCTTTATGCTTAGGAAGAAAATTGCTTTCTTAGTCAATACAAAAATAAAATCAAGACTGGCATAGTGGTGGATGCCTTTAATCCCAGCAGTTTGGGAGGCTGAGACAGGAGGATTGTGAGTTCAAAGCCAGCCTCAGCAACTTAGCAAGGCACTAAGCAACTCAGTGAGACCCTATCTCTAAATAAAATACAAAGTAGGGCTGGGGATGTGGCTCAGTGGTTGAGTGCCCCTGAGTTCAATTCCAGTACTCTCAACCCCCACCTCCAAAAAAAAAAATCAAGATTCTAAAATTTGCAAATCTGATGGAACTAGAGAGGCTCTAAAATTATCTTGTAGATTTGGGACTTATTAGTATGGCCCAAATTGTTTGCTGCAAATTCTTGAGGGAATGTCTCCTCTTCCAGTAACTGGGACTATACTCTGAATATGGAATGTTTTGCTAGGTGCCAGTTTTATTATTTATCAAATCAGACTATGATCGGTGATGTCCATATTTTTATAATACCTAATACATAGCTTACTTTTCTTTTTTGCTTCTAACACCAAACTAGTATTTGTGATTTTATCTTTAATATTTAATTATTTTCCTGCTTTGATGTTGTTATTTATGTTATGGGACTTATAGTGGTATTATACAGAATATTCTTTTGAAAAATTACAATTGGGCATGGTGGCACTTGCCTGTAATCCCAGCAGCTCAGGAGGCTGAAGCATGCAGATTGCACTTTCAGAGTCAGCCTCAGCAACCTAGCAAGGACTTAAGTATATTTGTAAGATCCTGTCTCAAAGTAAAAAAGGCCTGGATGTTGCTCAGTGGTAAAGCACCTCTGGTTTCAATTCCCAGTACCAAAACAAATAAACAGAACTTACAGATACTTTTGACCTGGACGTGATGGTGTATATCTGTAATTCCAGTGACTCATGAGGCTTGAGTCAGAAGGTTTGCAAATTTGAGGACAGCAATTTAGCAAGATCTGTCTCAAAAAAATAAAAGGGGTGAAGATGTGTTTTGATGGTAGAACAGACCTGGGTTCAATCCCCAGTAACACACATACCAACACCCCCCCGCCCCAAAACCAAAAAACAAAGGGAAGCAAAACACCTATTAGAATATTTGACCTTATTATATATTCACTGATTTGTTTCCCTGCTCTTGGATTATACTAGTGAGAAGTAGTTTGATGTTGGAAGGTGGTTTTTTTCTTTCATCATCAACAAATATTTCCTTTTAAATGTGCTAACTATTCCTGCTTGAAAAATGCTGCTAAATGCCTAGACATAGAAACCATCATTGTAGAACAGGTTACTTAGATTCTAAAATATTAAAACAGAAAGAAGGGAGTTAAATATGCTTTTTGTTCTCTTCAGCCACTCAGCCTTCCTACCCTGGCATCTTATTTAAGTGAAATAGAACGTTTATGATTTGAAAATAAGTGCGAGTGCCCCAGGAGTACAGGATTTTACCTGTGTAGATTTTCTGGTGTGTGAAGGGAGAATTATTGCATTAATATGTTGATTTTCATTTTTGCAAAATTTACTTTGCTTTCTACTGGCATAGAATTGTCTTTTTTTTTTTTTTTTCAAACCAAAAAACTCTTAATGCCTTTTCATAGATGAATGAAGAAATGCTGTGCCAAGAATTTGGAAGATTTGGACCATTAGCTAGTGTGAAAATTATGTGGCCTAGAACTGATGAAGAAAGAGCAAGAGAAAGAAATTGTGGCTTTGTGGCCTTTATGAATAGAAGAGATGCTGAAAGAGCTTTAAAAAATTTAAATGGTAAGAAAGTTTTATAATTATTCACTTAATAGAATTTAGACATTTCTTTGGTTTGTAAAAGTAGTTATGTAAACTCCAGTGAGGAATGAAGAGGTTAAAAATGAAATATAATTCAAATAACCAGATATACTTTATTTTCTTTAGAGACTTAGGAGAGTGACCTTTCTTTTCTTCCTTTGTAGGAAAAATGATTATGTCTTTTGAAATGAAGTTAGGTTGGGGTAAAGCTGTACCTATTCCTCCACATCCAATATACATTCCGCCTTCTATGATGGAACATACACTTCCCCCACCTCCATCCGGACTGCCTTTTAATGCGCAGCCTAGAGAACGGTTAAAAAACCCCAATGCTCCCATGTTACCACCACCTAAAAACAAGGAGGATTTTGAGAAGGTAATTTAAAAAATGTACATAGGGCCGCATCTAATTTGTAAATACTAAATCTGTGGTAGTGTTTCTTTTCAACAATTTTATAGAAAATGTGTGTGTAATTCTGTTTGGCAACTTCTTAAAGAAATAAATAGATGTGTTCCCTGCCTTAGCCCATGGAAACCCTGTATTGAAATAGTAGGTCACATTTTTATTTGTGGCTACCATTCCTTTTTTGACCACTTGTTAAGTTTTTTTCTCCCCCTTTGTCCAGTGTTGTATCCAGGTTTGCTTAAGTGCAGTATCTAAATTTATTTTGTTCTGAGAAAGTGATAGTTTTTATTTGGTTAAGTGACTTATCAATTAGAAAGATCACCTAAATAGTTAAATTGTTTGGATGGCAGCTAGCTAACTCTCAAGGTTTGAGGTATTAGAATATTTGAGATTATATGTGGTATTTTAAAAAAGTTAATCTAGTAAAAAGCAAAGGGTGAGTATTTCTCTTTATTAAACATAAAACCAACTGAATTTCAAGTTATAAGAATCTGTTGGTTCTGTTGTGACTTAATTACACTTAAAATGACAGGGCTGGTTTTAAAGGCTTGGGAACAAAGTAGCAAACTGTATGATCAGAGGCAAACAGCTAATTATTTCACAAATTAAAATCTTTATCTGATAATTCTCAGTGTAGTACCTATTTCAGTGCATTGATGTGCATTCTGGCAGGAATGTTCTGATTCTTTGCATTTGGTGAACATTTATTGTTCACTGAACACATCCATTTGCATTTATGTAATTGCTTAGTGTATAATTACTTCAAATGCAGTGATTGCCTGCAAAACTTGTGATTAGATGTGTAGTATTTTCAATGCATATGTATATTTTTGCTTGTTACTTGTTAACAATACTCACATATTCTATGTTTATTATCTGATGTGACTTCATATACAGACTCTGTCGCAAGCCATAGTCAAAGTGGTTATCCCAACAGAAAGGTACATGTTTTTCTTTATTATTACTGATCTAAATATAGACAATATCCCCTTCTGAATTTAAAAAAAAATGGTGTTGAGGAAAAGGTAATATCTTGACTGAGCAATGGTTCCTTCCCAGTACTTTTTGGGGGGGATGTATGAAATTTAACTTTAGTATGCTTTGCAATTTTATGTCATTATCTTTTGTTTTTATTGTTATTAATGTAGAGAATTTTTATAGCTTTAGAGTTAGAAAATGTTTAATAGATTTAATGTGGAGTTGTTCTAATGTTAGAGTATTATAATGGGAAAATAGGTGTTTTAAATAAAACATCTTAAATTTTAGATAATGTTATAATTTGACCCAATCTTTTTTTTTTCCTCCTCCTTCTTTGATTTCTGAATTAGCCACATTTAATATACAACTTTGGTTTGCATTCTCCTTACTGAGGGCATAGTTTTATTTATGTTTTCCTAATTAATTTTAAGAAGAAATTCCTAATATTTTTTTGAACACTGTATTTACTAGAATCTTTTTTCCATGGTAATATAGGTGTTTGGAATTCTTTTATTTTTCTTTCTTCCTTTTTTTCCTTTCTCAATATATTATCAATGCAGAAGAATTCATACTGTAGGTATGCTCTTGCTCAGTCAAGCTAAGCCTTTTCCCAAACACAGGAACACAACACTGGTTGAATAATAAATGAACACAAAAGAATACCAAATTCTCTTTGACATTGGCCTTGGTGAGCAACACCAGCTGAACTGTCTGCGGCAGCGGGGGACCAGGAAAACATCATGGGATGGATTGGGAAAGTATACAGTTTTTGACCAGACATTGGTACGATCGACTCCAATAAATGTGGTTTTATTATAACTGAGAAACAATTTTTTTGTTTTTTGTTTTTTTTTTTTGTTGTGGTTTCCCAGAATAAGATAATTACCATTTTAAAATAAAATAATGCACTTTAAAATATATTATCTTTTTGTACTACACTGTTTTATCCTGATAGAAAGTCAACATTTTTTAAAAAATAAGGAAATTACAAAATTCTTAAAGAAAAGTGTGATTACAATTCTTTAATAATAATATTGAATTCAAGTTAGCAACAACTAATTGTCAGATTTTGATTTTAAATAATCATGAAACATTTAAAAACTTTTAATTTTGTAAAAATAGATTTTACCAGTTACAAGCCTGTTTAAAACTATAGTGGTTTTTTTTTCCACTAATAAAGTATTCACAGGAAAGTATTTTTTGTAATATTCAAAAAACATATATCCCATAGTAGCTTTACTTGTGGCTCAGCTTATTTCTAAACAAAATTTTGAGTATACATTTTACTGAAAAGTCTTGACTCACCATTAGAGTGAACCCTTTGGTTTTAAACTTGCTAAACCATTTTTCATCTATCTTTAATACTGAAGTCAAGTTGCTTTTGACTTAATTTATACAAGTTTCTGGGTGTATTGTGTTTGTCCACCTAGTAAATGGTCTTATATATTATGATATATAAAATTTCCCTTTACTTTAATTTGGCTCACAGCAGTGGGAATTTTGGAATGAATCATAATTTTACAGTATCTCCCTTTCTTCAAAGTAATGTCATTAATTTTATGGATGCTGAGAATACATTCTCATTTGGATATCAACTGCATATTTGCAGAACTATTAATACTTCTATGAAGGAAAATAATTTTTTAAATTTAAAATTCAGTGATTTTTGTTTTTAGTTTTAACAATTTATGGTTGAATTAATAGTTTTAAATATATAGTTGCCCCTTTGTTAAGATTTACACCTGCATATAATTTTTTACCTCCTTTAGAATTAAATTTTTTTTTTACTATGTAGAGATTTTAGCATCCACATAAGTAGGTTTGTTTGAAAACTGTGAGAAAATAATTATAGTCAACATAAGATAGGTTATTTTACTGTCCATGTACTCTGAAACAGGGAGTTATATACAGCCAAAAAAAAAAAAAATCCGTCTTGTTCTATAACTATATTTATATTCTAGCAGTTATATGAACTTAATTTGAGCTGGGAATGCTAAAGATGTAACTTTAAATGTGTGCCTTATACCAAGAGCCAATATCCTTTTGCTTTTCCCAATTGTTATTTGCCAGCTCTGTATGCTGGGCAGCTGGTGAAATGAGAAATTAAAAGCAGCTTATAAGTAAGCTGAGTCATTTTTACCTGATACTATCATCTGTGTCTGAAATTGTGTTTGGAGTCTTTTATTAGACATTTTAGCTTCAGATTAGAAAAAAAAAATCAGTAAAGGCCTTCTAAAAATTCAGAGAATAAATGACTGTAGGAAAAAGTTATGTATATTTATTTTGGCTTAAATATTTGAACATCATGGTTATGAAGAATGGGAAGGGCATCTCACCATGTGCCCCAGTTTGGAAAGAGTAGGACTCCATTCACTTAAGGCTTTGGCAATATAATTTCTTCATTGATTCTTAACATGTAGGCAGAGTTGTACATGCCATGAATTGTGAACTAGTTTGAAGTGTGCTTCAAAGGGATGTTGCCTCATTAAAGGTCAGATTTAATAAAAACTCCATCTAGTATAATGTGTACCAGAAAAGCACAGGAATTGGATGGATTTTTCATTAAATCAGGCCTTAAATTTGAAATGTAGTTTTGCATTTTCATAAATTATAGTCATGGTTATAACATTTCAATACAACTACAAAAAAGTGCTTGGATTAGGAATATTTTCTTTTAAAACAGATAGTATGTAAATTTTAGTGGTTATAATATGCAAGTTATAAGTTACTGGTTTTATATATTTACAGCTTTCCAATTAGTTGTGATTCAGGATTTAATGTTTTGCATTTGAAAAATAAAATTAAGTGACATTTAGAAAATTAAACTTCTATTACTATGAGGCTGTGTTGTGGTTTCCCACCCTCCCTTCACCTTTCCTACCTTCCCGCTCCCCTACCCCCACTGTCCCACTCCCTCTTAATGCACAAGGCATTATCGTATGCTCCAGGTTGCTTTTTTGGTATTAAATTCTGTTTTAGTCAGCAGAATGATCTTTTTCTGCTCAATTGTAGTAACTTAGGTCAAGTATAGTTTTATATAGTGGTAGGTCTGAATCCATTTTCTTTAACTGTGTTGTTGTTGTAGGAATTTGCTCGCCCTGATACATCGAATGATAGAGTTTGTTGTACGTGAAGGGCCAATGTTTGAAGCTATGATTATGAACAGAGAAATCAACAATCCTATGTTCAGGTGTGTAGTGTTTAAATTGTGGTACTATAACATAAAATTTACCATTATAATCGTTTTTAAGTGTATAGTTTAGTGCCTTTTAAATCCATTCACATTGTTGTGTAACCATGACCATTATCCATCTCCAAAAATTTTTTCATCTTCCAAACCTGAAATCCTGTACCCATTAAATAATAACTCTCCATCTCCCCAGCTCTGTATCCTCACAACCATTGTTCTACTTTATATATCTATGAATTTGGCTTTGGGTATCTCATATAAGTGAAATTGTATGATATTTTCAGGTGTGTATTTTTAAACTGCTTTTAGGAATTAAGAATAAAATTTTAGAGTACAAGATTATTTTTGCAAAAGGATAAGTCAGTTGTTGATTAGAATGCTTAGATCAGTTTTTTTTTTCTATCACATTTTGATTTAGTTAAATAGCATTGTTTTTAGCATTGTCTAGGAGAAAAATACTTTTCATTATGTTTTCAATGAAAGACACTTTCATAAACTATAGTTAAACGAGTTTGAAAGGAAATTGTTTTTTTCCTGAATTGCTATGGTATCTAAGACATTAATTTAACACTCTTTAAGTAGTGTAAAATCACTACTTTTGGAATTACATGTTGAGAAAAATCTCTCCATTGCCTGACATAGCATCTGACCTATAAGTGTTCCATATAAATCATTGTAAGACCCAGCAAGAAACATACTTTTTAAGTATTGAACTCGATCATTAATGTGGTCTGGAGTTGGGACAGCAGGGAAGGGGTAAGGAACGGATGGCAAAATATAAGGAATTTTGGGGGGTCTCTTGATTGTAGTTGTTTTTTAGAACTAAATGGGCAAATAATATTTATCATTTGTTTATATTTAGTTGAAGGTAGCCCTTTCTAAAAGGATATGATGTCTACAATGATTTTGTTTTGTTTTGTTTAGGTTCTTATTTGAAAACCAGACACCTGCCCATGTTTACTACAGGTGGAAGCTTTATTCCATTCTGCAGGCAAGTAGAATTAATTGCTTTGTTAATTTCACTCTTGAGTTATTAGACCTTTCTAATAACTTCCTGGAAATTTTTAGGGAGATTCTCCAACTAAATGGCGGACAGAAGATTTTCGTATGTTCAAAAATGGATCTTTTTGGAGGCCACCACCATTAAATCCATACCTTCATGGAATGTCAGAAGAACAAGAAACAGAAGCTTTTGTAGAGGAACCTAGTAAGAAGGGAGCACTCAAGGAAGAGTAAGATGCTTTTTCTTTCTGTTATATATTCAGAAAAGTCACTTTGCTTTAATTAATAGTTTTATTGGTATAACCCTAAAATACAATGATTTTCTACTTGTTAAAATTTAAAATATTAACATCTTTCATCATATGCTTTATAATTTTAAACATTATGGCAAATATATATGTTTGTCCTACTGACCGTGTCCTTTGCCTGGTGATAAAACTATTGATGATCTCTTAAACATGATTGATTTCTTTCTCTGGCATTAGAATACTTCAGACTCTTAAAGGAATTATCTAGGGACCCTTAGAATTCTTGCCTCTTTGAGTGCAACATAAAGAGGAAAAATTACTGTATGGTTAGGAGGGGGTCAGATGTTGACTATGCAAAGTCTTTCATAGAGCTTACAGTGTGTGAGCTGTGAGATGGCTGCCATGCAAACATATTATTAGTGCTCACTCAGCCCTGGTAAATGCAATTAGCCTGGTTTAAAAAGCAGAAACATATTTATCTATTAAATATTTGGAGGATGCTCTATATATCTCATAGGGAAAAGTTAGCTAAAAGAATTTTTAGCATTTAAAGTTAGACTTCCTTGCATAGTCTGTTAATCTCTTTTTTTTTAATATTTATTTTTTAGTTGTCGTTGGACACAATACTTTCATTTTATTTATTTATTTTTTATGTGGTGCTGAGGTTGGAACCCAGGGCCCCGCATGTGCTAGGCGAGCACTGTACCTCTGAGCCACAACCTTAGCCCCTTCTATTATCTTAATACATGTTGCTTTGATGCACTGTCTGTGAGAGCATTTGCTAATGGTGTGTTACATATCTGAGTGTATTTGTTTCTCTAGGGATGGGTCCATTATTACTTTGGTCCAGGAATCTGCAGGCAGCTCAAAGCCTAAATCTGACTGCCTCCTGTTTTTGTAAATACTGTTTTATTGGAATATGCCCATGCCCATTTCTTTACATGTTGTCTATGGTTGCTTTGGTGCTATAGTAGTAGAGTGACTGACAGAGACCATATGGCTTGCAAAACCTAAAATATTTGTGATCTTATTCATTACAGAAAAAGTTAGCCTTTCCTAATCCCATGCCAAAGTGCTAAAGTAATAAGACTTCCTTCAGGAAAAGAGAGTAAAGAACAAGAAGGTTTTTCAGTATGATGAGATAATCTTAAAGATTTGGAAATATACCCATAATATTAAATTTACTTAATTTGTAAGCTAAAAAAGTCATTGAATACTTTTAGTTTCAGGAGAAGTATTCTTCTGTAAATAAGTTCTTAAAAAAATGATAATGAGGGTCTGGGGTTGTGACTCAGCAGTAGAGTGCTCGCCTAGAGTACACAAGGTCCTGGGTTCAGTCCTCAACACAACATAAAAATAAGTAAAGGTATTGTGTTCAAATAAAAAAAATTAAAATGATAACGAGTTTGGGGTACTTAATACAGTCTTCAGATCTATTTTATCTGAGTGGACTTTAAAGAGATTAGTTTGTGAGCAAAAACTATAATGGCATTTGAAACTTATATCTGTAAATATTTATAATTTTAAAAATTTGTTTTCAGACAGAGGGACAAATTAGAAGAAATCTTACGGGGATTAACTCCAAGAAAAAATGATATTGGAGATGCAATGGTCTTCTGTCTTAATAATGCTGAAGCTGCTGAAGAAATAGTGGATTGCATTACTGAATCATTGTCTATCTTAAAGACACCTCTTCCTAAAAAGGTATGGGAATGGTTTCTTTTTCTGAATGTTTAATTAAGTAAATAGGAGATAATAGTTGGCTTCTTTTTGAATTGGAATTGGTTTTCTTTTTGCATGAAGAACTTTGACAAAATCTTTCCCATGTAGTTTTATTTTCCTCTGCCTGGGAAACTTGTCATCGACATATAAGTAACCAACAACTCGAACTATAAATGAGTTAATAGATTTTATCCCTGCTAGTGTCATTTCCATGATGATGTTGAATTTCATATAACTTTTCTAATTTGGGAGTGATTATTAAATTATAGCTGAACATTAGCCTCATGCCCCTGATTCTAAGAAATGACAATAGTTTTTTTTTTTTCTAGATATATTATTGGCTAATGGTTTTTATTTTTAATCCATTTGTGTTATCTTTTGGCATTATAGATTGCCAGATTATATTTGGTTTCTGATGTTTTGTACAACTCTTCAGCCAAAGTTGCCAATGCTTCATATTATAGAAAATTGTAAGTATAATGATATAAGCTGATATTCCCGAAATAAAGTAATTAAGGGTAAGGAGTTTAGAAAAGCGGATCAATTGTTAACATCGCCCACAAAGAAGAAATAATTTGAATTTATTTATGGTTAGAGAATTTTCTTTTAAATTGGCCTGGATTTATTGAACTAAATTGCTGTAATCTGAATTATCAGTTTTTGGGGAAGTTTTAATTTTTATATCAGTTTTTAAATATCAGAAGAATCTGTTGACAAAACAAGATAGGTGAAGTTAAAAAAATAACATCTTATTTAGCTGTTGTTTAATAAGCAGTGTATATAACAGCAGACATAAAGGAGTAGAGCAAAGATACAACATTAACTATAACATCTCCATTTTCTTCTGTTCATCATTGTATGACTTTCATTGTTAATGTTTTTTGAGGCATTAAGAAATTATACCGCTGTTCTATAATTAAGCTGTCTCTTCTTCAGTTTCTTAGAGTTCCTCTTCTGTGTTTATTTTATAAATTAGGCCCAGGGAAAAAACTTGTCTCTGAAAGGAAATTTAGAAATGGATCCTACTCTGCTTTTGCTATGGTCAAGTCACTTAATCTTTTATAAGTTTCCTATTCATAAAAAAGAAGTTGAAATAGATGGTTCAACTGTGTCCTAATGTAAAGTACCTTGTTTGTGAAGGGAACTAGTACTTATGACTCTTGGGGGTCTTTACTGAAGAAAATGTAGAATAGAAGTCAAAGCACCTTGATCTTAATTTGAAGTCCAAGAGGGGTTTTCATTGATTAGCATTTTGAAGAGGAGGTGCAATTTCAAACAGATTTTATTTTAAAGAATATATTATTTAAATTTCAGTTTTGAAACAAAGTTATGTCAGATATTTTCAGACCTCAATGCTACCTATCGTACAATTCAAGGCCATTTGCAGTCTGAAAACTTTAAGGTATGTATATTGTTTTCTGTTTTTGCCTTTAAGTGTTCTAGATAGGTGGAGGAGGAGGGCATTGGAGGGCTAGAAAAGCATATTAGAAGTTATTGTTTTAAAATTCTACTGCTGCCTTCATTATTTAAAAGTATAAGAAAATTTAAAATACATCACTTTTTGTTTTATCAGATTAGTTCTAAGTGTTAATTATTTAAATATTTTAGCTATTAGGTTCCTCCCCTCCCACAGAGCACATTCAGAAGTTAAACTGTTTTGTAATGGTACATACAGTGTGGCTGGATTAGGGAATGTACATTTTTGTTATTTATATTTAGAAAGCATATTCAGCTACTATTTTTTTATAGCCTCATAAGCAATAGACTGGTATTAAGAAAAGCCAAAAAATAACTTATAATTGAATAAGTAAATATACTTTCATGGGAAGAAAACTTTAAGAAATTTTTTTAACTTGGAAAGATAGCCAGTGATCCCATCATCTAGAAGATTTAGACAAATCTATTTTTTAAATATTTTTTTCTGAAATATTTACCCTAAGTTAGAACTGACAGTTTTGGGAAGGGCAGAGGAAAATGTTAGCTAGATATTTGAAGTATTTTATTGGGCCACAGGGGATTCAGATTAAAACTTGGCTACTTTGATTTTCAACTTTCCTAAGTTTCTGTTAAGTCTACCCCAGAATATGACTCATGTTTAGTACTGATATTGGAATTGACCTTATGTGATGAAAAGCAAACAATTGTGGTTGTCCTGCTCCCCTTTAATTTGAAGGTGACACTGATTTTTTTTTAAAATATGAAATATTTGCTTTTTGAAAATTTTATGAAGAGTGTCAGTTTAAAGGAAAATTCAGCAAATCATGATAGTTGTTTCTTAGGAACTGAACTTTGAGACACTGCCCACAATAGTAACTCATTGTCTATTTCCTATTTATTTAGCAACGGGTAATGACCTGCTTCAGAGCATGGGAAGATTGGGCAATTTATCCAGAACCATTTTTGATCAAACTACAGAATATTTTCTTAGGACTTGTAAATATTATTGAAGAAAAGGAAACTGAGGTAGGCATTCTATATTTGTCTGATTATTTTTGAAATTTGTTTTGGACTGCAGTGTGGTATGTTACATATGTGAATAGTATTTCTTTTCTGTTTTTATTTAATTTATTTTGTATTTATATATAACAGCGGAATGCATTACAATTCTTATTATAAATACAGAGCACAATTTTTCCTATCTCTGATTGTATACACAATATATTCACACCAATTCATGTCTTCATACCTGTACTTTGGATAATAATGATCATCACATTCCACCATCATTAATAACCCCATGCCCCCTTCCCTTCCCCTCCTACTCCTCTGCCCTATCTAGAGTTCATCTATTCCTCCATGCTCCCCCTCCCTACCCCACCATGAATTAGCCCCCTTATATCAGAGGAAACATTTGGCATTTGGTTTTGGGGGATTGGCTAACTTCACTTAGCATTATCTTCTGTAATGCCGTCCATTTACCTACAAGTGCCATGGTTTTATTCTCTTTTATTGCTGAGTAATATTCCATTGTGTATATATGCCACATTTTTTTTTTTTATCCATTCATCTATTGAACCTAGGTTGGTTCCACAGTTTAGCTGTTGTGAATTATAAACATTGACGTGGCTGTGTTCCTGTAGTATGCTGTTTTTAAGTCCTTTGAGTATAGACCAAGGAAAGGGATAGCTGGGTCAAATCAAGAATAAATAAATGGGATGGACTTGAACTAAAAAATCTTCTCAGCAAAAGAAACAATTTGTGAGGTGATTAGAGAGCCTACATCTTAGAAGCAAATCTTTACCCTTCACACATCAGATAAGCACTAATCTCTAGGGTATATAAAGAACTCAAAAAGTTAGACACAAAAAAAAAAAAAAAACCCCACAAATAACCCAGTCAATAAATGGGTCAAGGACCTAAAGAAACACTTCAACAGTCAGTTGTCAAACACATGAAAAAATGTTTATCATCACTATCAATTAGAGAAATGTAAATCAAAACCACTCTTAAGATTTCATCTCACTCCAGTCAGAATGGCAGCTATTATGCATACAAACAACAAGTGTTGCTGAGGATGTGAGGGGAAAAGGTTCACTCATACACTGCAGTTAGGACTGCAAATTGTTGCAGCCAATATGGAAAGCAGTATGGAGATTTCTTGGAAAATTAGGGATAGCATTTCTTTGTTTAAAAAAAAAAATATTGTTTAACACTAAATAATGATTTTTTTTTATTGCTAAAATTACCAGAGTCCTAGATTCAGAGTTATATGTAGTTGGAATTTTCTGTGTTCTCTTTATGTAAAAATTAGTGGCCTTTTTTTTTTTTTTTTTTGATGACATGAAAGATTTATGATACATTAGAGAACAAGCCATATATAGATATTCCATGACTTATGATAAGGTCCCATAATCCATTGTAAGTTGATTGTATCATAAATTGAAAAAACATTTAATGCAGTTAATCTATGGAATGTCATAGCTACCCTCCTATACCTTAAACATGCTCAGGACACTTAAATTACCTAACACAAAGCCTAGTTTTAAATTAAGTTTTGAATATCTCATGTAACTTGCTAAATATCTATATCCAAAAAATGGTGATAACTCAGATAACTCAGTACATATCCATGTGAGCGTGCGCCTGACTGGGAGCTGTGGCTTGCTGCTGTTGCCCGGCATCACAGGAATATCATATGACATATTGTTGTCCTAGGAAAAGATCAAAATTCAAAATTTGAAGTACGATTAACCTCTGAACGTGTATCACTTTTTTTTGCACCATTATAAATTCGAAAAATAATTGTAAGTTGGGAACCATCTATATTTAGCATGACTTCATTTTATTGAAGAACTATATAAGTAAATACGTATATGAAAAGGTATAGCACATGATAGCAGATTCTGTTTACCTCCATTCTGTTTGCTTTTTACCTCAATAGTTCTTGAGTCTTTCATCTTTAATAGTCAAGCTGTACATTTTCACTCATGCAATATCCTTCCAGATCCTCCCTACTCATGGGTTTTGTTTCAGTTTCTTAAGTGGATAGTGCTTTCTCTTCCAAAGTGAAACTTCCTTATTAATCATTCTAATAGGATGGTGATATACCTCATTATTGTAACAGTTATTTGTATGATGTTGTGATTATCTGATTTCCTGACAACAATAACAACAAAAGAAACCTTTCGTAAATTCTATGATTTGCTCATCATTGACTCACATGGTACTTGGCACTTGGTAAATATTATATAAAGAAAGGTACCAGTTCCTGTTTCATTGGCAGACTGCAAATATTATTGTCTTACGTTGTACCCGGGAGTGTGGGTACTTACTTGTACTGGATTAGGTTTATAGCAGTGAGACTTTAACAAGCAAAGAAAATGTTACAGTTAGTTGTATGTGGTTCTGCAGGATGTACCAGATGATCTTGATGGTGCTCCCATTGAAGAAGAGCTTGATGGTGCACCTCTAGAAGATGTGGATGGAATTCCCATTGATGCTACTCCCATTGATGATCTTGATGGAGTTCCTATAAAAAGTCTTGATGATGATCTGGATGGAGTGCCTTGTACGTTCAGATTTCAAGCATTAAATGTAGTTAATAAGTTTAGTTACCAAAACTAATTTCTATTCATGCTAATATGGAAAGATTATTTCTATTTAATATTTTAATAAAATGTTAAGGTGTCAAATTATTTCTGACTTTTCAAAATTCAAATATCCTTGAGTATGTTTATACCAAGGTAATGTTTATACCAAGGAAAAGACTTTATTTTTAAAATATTTTTTTAATTGTAGTTGGACACAATACTTTATTATATTTATTTATTTTTATGTGGGGCTAAGGATCATACCCAGTGCCTCGCATGTGCTAGGTGAGTGCTCTACCGCTGAGCCACAACCCTAGCCCCAAGGAAAAGACTAAATTTTTTATGGTCACCTTTCTTTGTTAAGATAGTTGGCCTCCTATAATATTAGTAACTTCCTTTTTGTCTTGTCAGGAAATTATAGATCAAATCTTATTCACAATTATATTCACAATGCCATGTACCTGGTCTTACCAGTTTTGTTTTATTACATTTTCCAGTCTAGATTCAGTTTTCTTAGTTGCCTAACATTATGTTAAAATATTAAACAAATTAGGGATTTGATATTTTAGACAACATTTAGGTAAAAGTGTTCAAAATATATTTATTTTACTTCTGTGTTTCTTCATTTGCTTAAAATATTACTAACCAAGGTTTTCTGAGTTGATATGTACAGTAGATTCCCCTTATTTGCCACTTGACTTTCAGTTTCAGTTACCTGCTGTTAACCTTGGTCTAAAAATATTATATGGAAAATTCCAAAAATAAATAATTCCTAAGGTTTACTTGTATCACAGTATAGAGTTTTGATTATTCTACTGTATGATTGTTTTTGTTACTCTTTTACTGTGCCTAATTTATAAATTGAACTTTATTATAAATATGTATATATGGAAAAGTACAGTGTATAAGGAGTTTAGTGCCTGTCTGGTTTCAGGTATCCACTAGGGGTCTTGGAGTGTGTCCCTCATAGATGGGGATGGGGTGGGGTTCTGTATAATGTTAAAAACTTGGACCTCAGAAGCATCCTTGTTCTTGATACTATCAAAATTTTTCCATGTGTGACCTTGTTTTACTTTGTGTTTTAATAATTGAGTAAATATTCCTGAATGCAGTAGCTTGGATCATCCCCTAGTAGTGAGAATTAATAGTTCTTCTTTCTCCATTAGTGGATGCAACTGAAGACTCAAAGAAGAATGAGCCTATATTTAAAGTTGCCCCGTCAAAATGGGAAGCTGTAGATGAATCTGAATTGGAAGCACAAGGTGAGTAAAGGTATAGCAAATATCAAGCTTCAAAAAAATGAGTTCTTGGGCTGAGGTTGTGGCTCAGTGGTAGAGCATTTGACTCGCATGTGCTCTGGGTTCGATCCACAGTACCACATAAAAATAAATAAATAAATAAATAAAATAAAGGTATTGTGTCCAACTACAACTAAAAAAAATTTAAAAATTGAGTTCTTATAATCATTGATATGTTTGTATGTGTGTATTTTCCTTTTATGTTTTATAACATGATTCATTCTAAAAATCCAGTGTTAACCACATTTTATGTATAGTGTGAGCTTTTATTGTGGTTGCTGTTACTCTAGTAGTAATTTCTTAGATTCTTAGATTCTTTAGTTGGGAGGCGTTGAGAGTAATCAGAGAAATACCAAAAACTTTTAAGGTTAAGGCATTTCAGTAGAAAGTGTAGATGGGAAGCTATCTGTTTGAGAGGTCAATTTCAGAAAAATCATAATGCTTATTATTAGATGCAGTTTGGACTTAGCACTTAATTGATAGATGTTACCATCTAGCACAGAAAGAAGAATGACAAATTTTTTATCAGTTTTGAGTTTGAGTAAAATTGTAGGTGTTAGGGAAGAGATTTTACATAGAATTGGCTGTTCAAAGAATGCAAAAACAGCTTAAAAACTTCTGTAGTATAAACATTCAGTTCTTAGGCAGCAGCTGAAAAAAGTCTAATTTACCTTGTGATATTATATACTCTTTACTTTTCGTTTAGCTGTAACAACTTCTAAGTGGGAGTTATTTGACCAGCATGAAGAATCAGAAGAAGAAGAAAATCAAAAGTAAGAATCTAAGTTTCAAATATACTGTTTCCAGTGCATATACACTCCTTTTTTTTCCTTACTGGTTGAAGTAATAGTGAAGAGGAAAACTTCTCTCTTAAAAGCACCTGTGAGAGGGTTGTTTTTAGTTGTTCATAGTTTTTCTATTGAATAAAGAGATTTGGTTTCTGTTCATGTATCTTGTTTCACTTTGCTTTTGAGTTTATTTTCTGTGATAGATTGTACATTCTCACTTGGTAATTACTAAATGACTGACTACGTTTGTTTCAAATCTTTGTTACCAAATCTACAAAAAAGTGGTTTTTTATTTTTTTATTTTTTGTGAAAATCCACAAAAATGATTTTAAAAATGTGAGTGGGAGCTTCTTTTCTGTTATTTAAATGTAACACTTCAGCTGAACTAAGAATGAATAAAAGAAGTACAACCTTTTCTTTGAAGCATAGAGAAATTATATTCTTGATTTTGTTTTTTGGTAATTACTCCAAAATTGTTTTTGCATTTGACAATACGTGATTATAGGAATCTCTGTTCCCAGATTGTCCTGCAAGATTGTATTTGTACTTTGTAGGGGGCGTTGGACATTTTAAAAAAATCATTGCAAAGGAAATAGATTTTTAAGTAGGAAGAGGTGGCATCAAGAATGTAAAACAGAGGCTTTTATTTTTAAAAATATTTCTGTAATTTTTTTATTATTCCCAAATGGAAGAAGGAACAGGGGAAAATTCCTTTTTGTCCTAGCATAACACAGAAATTTATGTGGATTTCATAAATGGGTCTTTAGATTGTTAAGGAAGTATGAGCACTCAGTTGTAGAAACACAGATTGATATGAGGTTGAGGAGTTTAGAAGTCTGGTTTAATTCAGTTTGCTTTAAAACAGTGATTATCTTTAACTCTTTAATGTCCATGATCCTATCATTAGTCACATCTCATGAACTGGAAGTCACTGCTTTAAAATGTGTATTGTACTCAAAATAATTAATTTAGAAGGCAGGAACGATAGGAAAGCCATCAGAGAACTCAAAAGAATTCGAATATATTGTGAAGTAGGTTTTATTTCTAAAGATATTGGGAATTTTTTCTTTCTTGACATAAAGTTGTTATTTGTGTTAATGTTTGGAATATGACTGTGAAATAATTCACTGATAGCATGATAAGAATAATTTATACTTTTGATTTTTTTAGGAACTCCAAATAAATCTTGATAATATAAAAATAACTATGAAAGTGAGGGGGAAAAAAATCACAAAGAACTTTCTGATTCTTGAAATTCTCTTATGCCTCACTACTACTCTCTAGTGGCTGAATCCAAAATGCCTTTTAACTTAGAGCTGCTTTTTGAAGCTAGTGATTATTGCATTTGTGGGAGAAATGTGATTTTAACAAAAATATAGCTTATTAAGACTTAAGAAGAATTCCTAAAAGGGGCTGGGGATGTGGCTCAAGCGGTAGCGCGCTCGTCTGGCATGTGTGCGGCCCGGGTTCGATCCTCAGCACCACATACCAACAAAGATGTTGTGTCTGCCGAGAACTAAAAAATAAATATTAAAAATAAATATTAAAAAAAAGAATTCCTAAAAGAATTTCATTTGTAATGAATTTTACATTTTAATTTTGAACTTCCCTTTTCTTTAAAAGAAGTGCAAAAGAAGCTGTGATGAGAACTGAACCTGGAACTATTAACTGAGGGATAAGGCCAAAATCAATTAAAACAACTGCTCAGGCCTTGAAAAATTATATTAGCAACTTGAAAATATGTATATATTTAAAGTTATCCAAGTAGCATAGCTCTTGGTTTTTTTTTTTTTTTCTCTTTTTTCTTTTTATAGTACTGGGGATTGAACTGGGGCCTCACAAATGCTAAATAAGTACTGAGTTACATTCCCAGCCCTTTGTATATTTTTAAATTTATATTTAAATGTTATATTAACTATTGCAAAGAAAATTTTTTGCAGAATGAAAGGCACACAGATGTCATTAACATAAGCAAAATTTATTAAAAGTGTCAAGTTGAAGCTCAAACTTATTATGTGGAGAAAATGAGTTTTACAAAATTGTCTATAAAATATTATGTACTCAGATATTTTACAAAAAATGTTTTAGGGATGAATTGTCCTCATATATTTTGCTAATGTTATTTAGGCTCTATGACAGTGAAAAATAAAATTTCCAGTCTGTAAAATGTAACCTTTTTTTGATGTCTTGACGTACCATGTATTCTACTTATTTCCAAAGTCAAGAAGAAGAAAGTGAAGATGAAGATGATACCCAAAGTTCCAAATCTGAAGAGCATCACTTGTACTCTAATCCAATCAAAGAAGAAATGACCGAGTCCAAATTCTCTAAATACTCTGAAATGAGTGAGGAAAAACGAGCTAAGCTTCGTGAGATTGAGGTTAGTATGGCAGTGACACTGAAGCTATACTCCATTGGCTTTTCACCTTCTCCGTCAGGTTCAACTCTCTCTTGACAGCATATGTGGGTACATACCATTTCCCTTCTCTGCTTCGAAGCCTCCATTTTTTTTGAGCCTCTCAGGTCTCTTAGTTTAAGCATCCCTTCCCTCATAATAGCCTTTTCTAATTTACTAAAATTATTATTTTAGTTGTAGATGGACACAGCACCCTTATTTATGTATGTATGTATGTATGTATGTATGTATGTTTGTATGTATATGTGGTACTGGAGGATCGAACCCAGTGCCTCACATGTGCTAAGCAAGCACTCTGTCACTGACCAACAACCCCAGCCCTGTTCCTTTTGTTTATCTCTGTATAATTTTACATGTGTTATGGGGTGTGCATGTATTTTGTTTGCTGCCTTACTTCATTGATTAATGTCTTTTCTTTTTGTTTTATCTCTAGAATATGGCAGGCACATAAGAGAGCCTCTGAAGAAATAAGTTCTAATTAATAGATTATATTTAATCATGTAGGAAATTTATTACATTTTGAATGTATGCAGTATGTAACTAAGGAATGATAAAATATTTTCTGGCACACTCAAGTGATATTTACATTTTATTATAGGGGACTAAAATATGTCTACTTTTAATGACTGGGCAAAGAGTAGACATTGAGTGGGTCTCATAACATTAAGAGGAGAAAGACATATAGGAGAGCCCAGACCATTTCATGGACTTTCCCTCCATTCTTCCATCTCCTTTTTTTTTAAAATATCCTGTTAAAATCAAAGCTATTCAGACATGTCAGAGAAAGAAAGATTTTTTTTTAATGCATCAAGGTAATGAAACATTCCTAGCAAATAACAGCAGTGGTCAGTCTAGAACATAAGAAGAGTGTTAAGTTCATTCACTTAACAGTTTTTTGAATATTTACTTCATGCCAGCCTTATTCCTCTTACTAATAATTTAATTTTTTAGAAATAGACAATGTATATCAGTGAACAAACATAGGTTGGACCTTTTTCTTTTTAAAAAAAGTATATAGAATTATTTATAAGAAGATAAGCAGTTAAGTACCACTGGGTGGTATAGGTTTAAAAAAGTTAAAAATAAGTCGTTAGTGGAAAGCATTAAATTATTCACATGTTAAAGTTGGTGCTAACAGCAAATTCAAACACAGCTAACACTGAGTATCATTAAATACTGTGCTGATTGCTGCACAATCAATCTCTGCAAAAACCTTATGAGGGAAATACTGTTATCTTTTTTTGGCAAGTGAGTAAATGGAGATAGATTTTAAATAACTTGTCTAAACCACCCAGGTAATAGTGGCACAATATGTATTGGAGTCTAGATGATCAAAAAGTAGAGACAGACTAATATAAGCTCCAAGCCACAAAGCAACTCAGACATCATTTAGCCCAGTTTCAATGTTTCACAGTTGGGGGTTGGACCTTTTTTGATGAGCACATGCCCCTTCCTAACTCTCAGTCCTCCTCCTATTTTACTGAGAGGCTTTGCCTAACTGATATAATAAAACTGTTAAAATACAAGTAAAGATTGAGTTCAGTAAAATAGATTTTCTTGATAATTTAAGTTACCCCTTATAAATGCCAAAATAGACTATTTAAAATTAGTTTAAAATGTTCTATTTGCTTCTTAACATAGAGAAGAAAGCTGTATAATTTAGCTTTTTCTTAACTTGGCTGGATTTTATGAACATTATTATTTCTACATTATATGCATATATACGTGTGGGATATACATGTGTGTATGCACACACCCATGTACATACTTAAGAGTATACATTTCCATGCTTTGTGTGTTCTGTTGTAGTCTGTCTTCTCCCTTTGTTAAATATTCAGTGGCTGTTTTTCCTGCCCTCATGGTATCTACCTTTCACAATTGACTCATGGGATTTTGATTTGGAACCAAGTCCTTAGCATTATCTAATTATCTTTTCTTCTCCCTTGTATGCTAGTACTGAGATTTAGTCACATGCAATAAAGATTTAATCACATGGAATAAAGTTTAACCTTGGTGGATATGATATTGTAGTGTTGACCAGGAACAGATTCTTAATTTTTCAGATACCATAGAGTAGTACCTAAGTAGCATTGACTTTTCCTATTCCGCTGTCCCTACTTCTGCCAGAGGAGTTGGAAAAGAATAGTGGACTGGGAGCCAAGTGAAGGATCTTCTGTATTATTGAAGGAGAAAGATCACTTTCTAACCTGGTCCCTAAGGAAAGAATGAGTAGTTGAGTAGGAAGGTGATACTTGGTCATTATCCCAAGGCAAGAAGCCATTGTGTGGGCTACTTTCTTTTACGTTGAGGCCTATAATCACCTTTTTTTTCTGGGTACCTTGGACTTTTGATTAAGCCAGAGGTAGACTGTATCAGCAGAAACCTAAGTTGGAATTTTTTTTTAATATATATTTTTTTTAAGTTGTAGATGGACACAATACCTTTGTTTATTTTTATGTGGTACTGAGGATCGAACCCAGCGCCTCACATGTAAGAAGCAAGTGTTCCACTGCTGAGCCACAACTCCAGTCCCTAAATTGGAATTTTATAATGATATTTTTAAAAGATTGTCTAGAAAGTCCTCCTTTCCCATAAGTGACACTCAGTCTGGTTTTTTGCCCTTTGGATACTTAATTCTGATTTGCAAAACATATTTTGATTTATTCTGGTCAAGGCTGCATACAGTGATGAGATCAGCCATTTATATTGCTGTACACCCCCATCTTACAATCTAAACTTATATCTTACTGGGGGTGGAAAGCCTAAAACTGTCTTTTAGGATGTAATAATCATTAAAACATGAAAAAAGTGCAAAGAATTGTAAGATTTTAAAAGGAAGAGGAGAGGACTCCAATTATAAAACCCTTACTTACTATGTACAAAAGTGAAATTAGTAAAAGGGAAAAAATTAGAGAACTTATTAAAAACATTCATCAAGTTCAAAAATCATGAAAATACCACTTTAATTTTGGACTGGGAAGAAATTATAGCTTGTTTCCATTTTATTGGAAAGTCTTATTTGTAATGACAAGTCGGGGTAGAAAGCCTAAAACAAATGAGACCTTGTTTTTCCAATATAAATAAAATGTGTGGCAGCACATAGCCCATTTAAAAGACATATTAGTGTCTAAATAAAGCAGGATTAGATGTTAACCTCTGGTAATTCCATTAGACAAGAATGCATTCCCCATCTCATTGAGTAAAACTAGATTGGACAGGTTTGGGACTTTACAGGGTGGATTCATCTAGGATCTGTGTACTTCCCACCTCAACTTCCGACAATTGCAAAGTCCTCATGATCTTTACCTTATTTGCTCTCCATTAGTCCAAGAATAAAGTATCTGTCCTTGGAAATTTCTTGGATGATTTAAGCTCGTTTAAGCCTCCAGATACTTTTTATTTTAGCTGTTTTGTGAAATCTTCAAGTTCAAAATACATGATGAGTTTATTCATTTTAGTATTTTTTTATGTAGTAGTAAAAATATTAAAATACTTAAATCTCTAGAATAAAATGAAATTAATCTCACCTATTCCATTCTTTTTCTCCCTGTAACTGATTTTACCAGTTTTTTGTATATGTTCTCTGGTTACTATTGCAGATTTTTTGGTGTATTTGTGTATAGTTAGCCAGAAATCTCTATCTGAACATGTAGGTGATTTAGTTTTACAAATAGTGTTGCAGTGAATATTCTTGTATAAATAGGTTTTATGTGGACATTCTAAAGGATAAGTTATAAAATATGGAATTAAAACATTTTCTGATTTTTTTAAAAAATCAGTATTGTCTTTAAAAAAGTACATTCTAAATATGACTTTAATATTTTCTTTGTACGTTGATATTCAGTGATTATATTGTACTAGAAATAGAGTAAATCTTCAGACTGTGCAGCTCTGTGTTTGATCTAACACCAACTTTAACCGGAATACTGCTTTTGTGTGTGTGTGTGTGTGTTTTAATCTATTTTCTGTTGACACATATCTTCCTGGCAGTATGCTTTCCTCCAGTTTCCTTACCTTTCTAATTTGGGGAACCAGATCCCAATTCATAATTGTGTTGAGAGAATAAGTTCTTAAGGGTATGAAGCATGTGGTTTTTTGAGTAATCTCATGGCTGTGTAGAGAGCATGTGACCTGATGTCTGATTACTTGGATTCTGTGTGGATGGGCTTGTCTGACAAGTGGCCTTCAGATAAGACAGTTTTATGTTTAGGTTATATTTTGACTGATTGCTAATCAGATATCACTTTACTGTAGAGGAGAGCAAAATGGTTCTTAAGAAACTATAAGTAATTGAAAATACTTATTTTAAAAATGTTTTATTTCACAGCTCAAAGTTATGAAGTTTCAGGATGAATTAGAGTCTGGAAAAAGACCTAAAAAACCAGGCCAAAGTTTCCAAGAGCAAGTAGAACACTACAGAGATAAACTTCTTCAACGAGTAAGGAATAAATATGTTTAATAATATATGATTTCCAAAATTACTTATTTGATGTCTTAGAATATTAGTATATTGGTATACTTAAGGAAAGTATATTTCCATTTATATCCTTTGATGTATAAATGTTGTATACTAGTGGACAGTCAGAAGCATGTGAGTTTCAGTATTTTAAAACCGTTTCAACTTGGAAAAGAGGTCTTAAGGCAACAGCATACTATTTTATTCAGGGTACAACCTGTGGACTACAAGATTAATCCTAGTAAGAGCATGCTTTCAAAACTGAAAGAACCCTACAGGAAGAAGTTTATGACAGTGAGACAACCGCTACCCTGAAAACTGGCACCGAGATACAGATGGAAACAGGGTTTGAGAAATTCTAGTGTCAAGAAGCTGTTTTAGGACTTCTGTAAATGGTAGAGAATGGCTCATCAGTGAATTCCATGTTTTTAAAATTTTTTGATTTTTTTTTTTAAGACATTGATGGACCTTTATTTTATTTATTTATTTATTTATATGCATTGCTAAGAATTGAACCCAGTGCCTCACACATGCTAGGCAAGTGCTCTACCACTGAGCCACAACTCCAACCCCAACCCCAGAATTCCAGGTCTTTGAGGGACTTTGTATTTTTGCATATAAAAAAATATGTAGGAATAGGCAGAGAATTCTAGAAGTAGCAGTCCCACATGGTAATTGTTGAAGAAACTCAGGAATTTTGGTGGAGGTGCTATTTTAGCCTATATTTTAATTGTCTGCAAAATAATAATGTAATAATGGTAATAATAGAAATAAAAACAGAGAAATAGGAAAAAGTTATAGAAGGGCACTTGAAATGATTCATTTGCAGAACCAACAATGGGGAGCATTCCAGTAAAGGGACTGAGGTGCCGCATAGACCTGTGGAATCCTAGTGCCACTTTCTGATGTGCACCTGGCTTTTCTGTGAAACTGGGGTGATGTTTCCAATTCTGCAAGATTGTTAGATGATAGCTATTGTTATTATGCTTTATTATTGAATTAGAATTTGTGAAACATTGTAAGTAGTTTAACTGTAGTATAGTTTCCATATAATAGGCATTTCAATCACGAGAATATTTCCTAAAGATCTCCTCAGCACCAGTTGTAAAATTTGTACTATGTTGTATGTTGTATTTGTAAAAATATGAATGTGATTTTTTTTTAAAAGATGCTAGTAATCTTTACCCTCTGAGTTCCTTTGGAATGGTGATAGATTATTTATCTGCAAAGAACCCTTCTGGTCCTCACTAATCCTAATGGTAGCAAGTTTAAAATGAGTAATACATGTATGACCACTTTAGTCCCCTTACATTCCATGACTGTAGTTGTAGACAAGCTTGTGTTTTGTGAAGGCATGTGCTGAGGATCAGTAGACTATGCCTGATTTTGTAGGTTGAATTTTATTAGAATACTGCCATGCCCATTCACTGTGTATTGTTTATGGTGGCTTTTATGCTGCAGTGACAAGAGTTGAGCACTTGTGACAAAGACTGTATGTGGCCCACAAAAACAAAATATTTACTATCTGACATTACACAAAAATTTTTCCAACATCTGGTATAGGCTTCTATAACTTCTTAAAAATTGGAATTGTCAGCCATCAAATAGCATTTTTGATACATATCATAGAAGAATTCTTGTTGAAGAACCAAGTTGTCTGGATTTTTTGTCTGTAACCACTCATTTGTTTATACTGTTATCAATACAAATCAGAATTTCAAGTGACGTGATCAAAGAAACTATTTTCTGGTTACATAATTGTATCATTATGTAGTCAGTTTATTTTTATAAATTAGCACTTAAAGTTTCTATTATCGCTGGTGTTTGTTTCTCAGTAATAAAATTTTGGTGGAAGATTATTATGAATAGCCATTTTCCGCTTTTCAGCTTTTTCCTTTAGTAAGAACTCCTTGATTAAATCAACTTGCTGCGCAGTTAGAAGAATTACTTTTTACTAATTGTAATCTGTGAAGGAAAGTTTAGTGCATTGCTAGCTTTTTCTGATTTTTTTGTTTTGTTTTGTTTTGTTTTGTTTTGAGTTGGGCGGTGGGTACGTGGGATTAGGACGTAGGACAAGATCTGACTGTAAAGCTTGAACTAAAACCCAGACTCGACCATTCAGTGTGACTATAGACATTGTACTTGATCTTTCCAAGTCTCAGTTTTCATCTCTAGACTGATGGTGATATTACTGATCCTAGGGGTCTTGAATTATATGAAGTGGTATATGGAAAAATGTTTAGTACATGACTTGGGCTATGGTAAGCACTAAGTAAATATGTAGCTGCTATTATTATTATCATTATAATGTCATTATTGTTATAATGGTAATTATTATTCAGTACAAGAATAGTTTTCCTGGAATGGTAGATTTTTTTGAAAATGATATTGTATTGTAAGTAATGATGTTAAAAAATGTTTCCTAAATGAGAAAATATTGTTACATAAAAGTGATTAACCTTGATTAATTTTTTTAAGCAACTAAATATTTTCTTTTTAAAAACAAAACAGGAGAAAGAGAAAGAATTAGAAAGAGAACGAGAAAGAGATAAGAAGGATAAAGAAAAGTTGGAATCTAGATCCAAAGACAAGAAGGAAAAAGATGAGTGTACTCCAACAAGGAAAGAAAGGTATAACATCCTGATGTGTACACTGGTTTTGCAATAGTTTTTGATTTTATAATATTCTCATTATTGATACCAACAAACTGGAAGTGTGTTTTACAATAAACTTGTTGACTCCTGCCTGCAGGAGGCAGAGTTAGCTGAACAAATGGAGTAGACAATTGCTGCTTGGTTTTAACTAAGTAGGGCATCTTCCCTTTACATGTATCTTATGGTAGCCTTAGCCTTAGTTGAGTGCAAGTATTCAGTTACAGTATTAAGTATCAAATATGAAGCTTAAATAACAGAACAGCTTGCTAGATATTCCTTTTTACCTCTGCTATAAGAATTTTTTTCTGGTTTCTGTGCTGAGGCTGCTACCTGTAAACCTGTCTCAGTCTTACTTTGAAAGGAGATTGTGTACATAGGCCACAGGGACTTGCTTCTTGCTTTAAGTCTTCATTCTAAGCATTTTTCTTTCAGTTTTTATTTCTTACTATCATAGTTCCTAAGTCTCTTAGGAAGGAACATTGCTTTAGTCGACAGAATTGAGGTTTTTCAAATTAAAAAAAACCAAATAATTGCAAATAAATTCTGGCTCACCCATTCTAGAGTTACTTCAGGTAACGCTAATTGTTTTGGTAACAAAAATCTGTCACTTTTTGTGATATTATTTGACATAATTTCAGATTTACAGTAGTTGAAAGAATAAAGAATTTCTAGGTTCCCTTCTACATCCCCCAAATGTTAAAATATTTCTACTTCTGCTTTATTTTTCTTTTTCCACTCTTGATTCCAATCATTTAAGAATAATTGGACAATAGGATGCCATGTTATCTTAACCATATTCATTTAACCTCAATAAAAGTATCAGATCAGAAAAATAACGTTAAAAGAAAACCTCACTGTTATCTAATCTAGAAACTTAATTAATTTTGTTGATTGTCTCAGTAATCTGTCTTAGAGCAAAAGAAAATTTAGTTTAGCTGAATTTAGTTTTCTCTCGATCAATCTATTTTAAGACTTGTTTGTTCTAGTTACAAAGAACTTTTGAGTGTTATGGAAAATAATATTAACAGTGGTGTAAACTGGTAGGAATTAATTTGTCAATCTAATAAAAGAAAAACACATACCTAATCCTTTGCTTACTCATGAAATGTTTTGGGGCTTTGTTCCATAGGAAAAGGCGACATAGTACATCCCCCAGCCCATCTCGCAGTAGCAGTGGTAGACGAGTGAAATCCCCATCACCAAAATCGGAGCGGTCAGAGCGTTCAGAAAGATCTCATAAAGAAAGCTCCCGGTCCAGGTCATCTCACAAAGATTCTCCTAGGGATGTTAGCAAAAAAGCCAAAAGGTAAATATGCAAGCCATTTTTTACAATATTTTAAATACCAGTATCCTTATTATTCTACCAGCTTTTGAACATAATTTGGTTGACAGAGTTTTAAAAGAGAGATAACAGTTTCATTTTAGGTTGTTATTCCCCACATCCCTACCCCAGGCTCTCATGACTAAAGTACAAGAAGGCTCCCAACAAGTTAAAGACCAGCTGAGAATTTTTGATGTATCCAATGCTTCCTGTGACATGGGGGTAGTTGCTTTACTTTTCATTTTGCTCTTTAGTTTCTGTAGAATATTCTCACAGATTATGTCAAAGCTGAAAGAAAAATGCACCCCCCATAGGAATATTTTTAACAAGTTTGTGGGTAGAGATTTGAGGAAATAAATACCATTTATACCATTTCTTCAGTATGTAATTTAGTATTTTATATTCTTTATTCCTTTTACTTCATAGAACTAAAAGTGGTTCAGAAATGTTTTATTTATTTGGTATTATAGATTTTTTTCCGAGAGCTAAAACTGCTTTATATACTAACATTTTATTATTGTAACTATTAGTAAAATCTTTCAATAGGGTTCTCTTACAGTATGTATATATGTATATATGTGTACTTGTATATTTCTTCATTTTGAAAATCTTCATAAACAACACTTAACAAAATTATGCTCTCCGATGATGCCCTTGAACTATATTGTAGTAATTTGAAGTTTTTTCCCTCAAGATGATGGGTTGCAAAGCTGCTGTGTTTTGTGACTAATTTTAGGTGCCATTTTGAAAGTTACCTTGTAGATTAGAGGTTTACATTTTGAGAACATTGGATAACAGTGAGCTTGTTAAAAATGCAAATTCAGTCCCTGCCTCTAGAGATTTAGATTCAGTAGAGCAGGGGTAGGGAACATAGAAATCTTTCTTTACAAATAGGTGCTTAACTGATTATCATTGATGAATTGCATAGTAACTACAAAATTGTTTGTGTGTGTGTGTGTGTGTGTGTGTGTGTGTTGCCTATACACACACTGGGCAAAATATAAACTTGAGAAGTTCACAGTCTTATTTTAGTGACTTTCATTGTGCTCTCTTAAAGATCATTTTAAACAATTTATGGATAAGCAGTTTTGATCACATGATAAATTGTGGTTTTTTTGTTGTTGTTTTGTTTTTTTGTTTTTGTTTTTGTTTTTTTGTTTCCTTAGATCACCATCTGGGTCAAGGACACCTAAAAGGTCTAGGCGATCACGATCTAGATCCCCTAAAAAATCAGGGAAGAAATCCAGATCCCAGTCCCGATCTCCACACAGGTCTCATAAAAAGTCAAAGAAAAACAAACACTGACATATGTTTTTAAGATGCTGTCACTTATTGGAAATGCGATTTTGTTTTGTGCCTGAATGGTCTGTTTTTTAAAAAAACAAAACAAAAAAAATCAAATGAAAGAGCATTCCTGGGTTTTTTTTGTTTGTTTGTGAATGCATGTGTAAACTCATGAGTAACTGCATCTGTAGACCTGTCATTGTTTTATATTGTATAAATTACTTTCATTGTGGCTGTTTCTGAAGATGAAATTTTTATTGTGCTAATGAATTTCATCAGAAATGTGTATAATGGATCTGCTGGCAGTAGTAGTATTTTGTTTTAGGATGTTGTGACTTAGCAAAAATAATACAGATGTCTTCCCCCCTTTTGTAGCTTTGACAATTTGAATTAGATTTCAAATAAAATCTGAACAGAAAACTATAATGTTGTTTTTTTGCCCAGTTGGTGATATCAAGTCCCTTGAATTACTACAAAGTGAATTTGGCATTAATGTTGTGTTTCTTATACCCTTTAATGCACTTTACAAGTTCCAGTGTTCAAGTAGCTGAAGTTTTATATTTACTAAGATGAATATCAAAATTAAGGGACCTGAAACTACTATTGGTAGGTTTGCTGACTAGTTTTCTTCAGTAAGGTTCTCTTGGATAATTCCAATACCCAGAGAATGGAATGCTTGACTTAAACATTTTTCTTTTTTCAAAGAAGCAATATTATTTCAATACACTCAACCCATGTCTTGAGCAACTACTTATTTTTAGGGGAAAATGAAATCTCTTGATTTTTGTCTTCTATTATGGAAAAAGTTTATTTATAAAAGAAATTTTCTAACAAGATTTGATCATAGAATTCTTTCGTATGATAGTTGCCCTTTTATAATTTTCTGTGAGCTGTCTTTCAAACACCGGTATCAGAATAATTCTATAAATTTATGTTTAAAACATCTTAATTTTTAAAAAGAAAGTTTGGCTTTAGGTGTAGTTCTAAGTAAAATTTAAAAATACAATGGTTTTCAGGAAATTTAACATCCAATGGTTTGTAAATCCAAGGTGCAAAAACCATTCTCAGAGTTAAAATCTATTATAAATGAGAATAAAATCCCTGTAGTCTGAGAAGAAAAAAACTTGTGTAGTGTTGACCATAATGTTACTATAAATATAATGTAATAAAGGGTTACATAGACTTGAACTGACACTATTATTTGTCAATCTTGCTTTCAGTTTTTCATTAAGGCATTTTACATAGTGGTTTGATGTTTTTTTTTTTCTCTTTAGCAGAGAAAGTAGAAAGCTATTATAATAATGGATTGTTTTGATTTCCCTTGCTTATAAAAAAAAAATCTTTTCAACTTTGTGCTTAGTCTTGCCTTGTCAAAAAATAAGATACTTTGTGTCCATGTTTTGGGAAGAAACTTGTTAGTTGAGCAGTGAGGCATACTATGTCCAAACTGGGCAAATCTACAAGAGCTTTGGAAATGAGCCAATCTATCAGGTTATTTTATATACTGGTCTTAGCATGCAAGTATTACTTGGAAGTTATTTCCTTATTGTTCACTCTTTTTTGTTTATCCATTTTGTTAGGATAGTTAATTTCTAAAAGTTGTTCAGAATAATTAATGTGAACATTTGGTGCTGGTATTTAAAAACCTATAAATGTCATTATTTTAAAGTAACCATTTATTCCCCCAATCGTTGCCTGGAAGAATGTAATTTTTATATAATCCACCTTTCTTTGCAAAAACATTACTAGTGTTGAATTGCTGGTGATTTTGGCATTCCCCATTCACTGTTATCTTGTATAGGCTTAGAAATGGTCATGGTATCATATTTTCAGTTAAGTTGCAAGGGATGCTTATTTTCCTCTTGCTCTAAAAGCAAAAACAAAAACAAAACAAACCCTGGAAGAGGGAGGAGTGAGTAGTGGTTTGGGGTGCTTATTGGTAATTTTTCCTACTGCAAAGGAATTCAGCAGTTTTCTTTATATACATCTCGATAAAATTATTGTAGTTTGTCTTTGCAGTGGATAAAACTGGCTTACTTTTGGTTAAGGGGGATTGCTTAGGCCTAGTAGAATGTATTTGGTGAAATTTGTTAATGTGTTTATTGGATTTTGTTTTCTTAAATTGCAAATAGTAAGATAGGTTAGTTCCAATTTTACTTTATAAAGAAATATCTAGAGTAAGCTTGTTAAATTCCCTGTAAATTCTGTGAAAGTTGAATAGGATCAGAAGTTGGTGAATTGTGGGAGGAAGATAGGTATCCTACCATATTTTTATAATATCAGTTTTATAATATCAATTTGGAACTACAGAACATTAGTGCATAGCCAAATGTCTCTAGGTTGACTGAAATGTGCATTGACTACTTTCTTCTAGTTGTAGGAAAGACCATGTTCCAGCTATGTAACAGTCACTGTCCTCTGCCACAACTACACACAAGAGGAAATCCTCTATTGTCTATCTTTACAAAGGGCATCATTTAAATTCTTTACCCTCAAATCTACCATTTATACACAGTGATTTCTTACCAGGTTAACATCATGTAACTCTCCTCTCTTCTCCCAGGTGAAAGAAAGGAAATAAGTGTTGGTCTCTCTCTTTCTGGAAAGAGACCAGTGATTGAAAAGGATCATGTTGGTGAATCTTTTCTTGACATGTTTATATTCTTTGTTATATTAGTAAACATGGAAATTTATGAACTTTAACATCTTGAAAAGTTAGAGACTAAAGAATTAACATAACAAAAATCTCTGATACAAAAGAATGCTCTTTATTTGGCTCAGAATAGTCTTGACCTTTTTGCTAAAGTTTGCAGAAATTACTTTACACTGACCCAATTTTTCTTTACTATAGACCATTCCTAGGAACTTACCCAGAATCTTTTATCCCAATTAATGAATCTTGGGGGAAATGCTGTGACTTATGTGTGAAACTTTAATAATATTCTTGATCACTTGAAAATATTTTGAAGAAATTTTGATCAAATTTAGGTTTATTAGAAATATTTTGTATACATTTACCTTCTTGGTGATATAAGTTCTGAAAAATTACATGATCATGATAATAGTTTTATCATTATTAAAAATAAGAGCAAATAAATATATTGCCAAAGTGACTTAAACTAGTCTGATGACCACAACGGTGTGATTTCTTTAGCAAAGTTGTTTTTAAAAATATAGTACCACGTTTCTGAGATTGTGTATTTAAAAAACAAAACAAAACAAAACTTTTTTTCTCTTCAGTGACATTTTAATGGAAAAGTTAATTATGAAATTCAGTGCAGATACTAGTGAAGACACTAAATTTAAAGGAAAATATTCCTGTAAAAACTCAAATTTTACAAAGTGCTTGGTTTCTTTTCACATGTATGTTTTGGAATAGATTTTAGAGAGTGTTTCTCATCCTTTTGACTCTTCTTCTTTTATCATCTACTTGTTCGGATTTAAGTAAAACAAGTTCGGATTTAAGTAAAACAAGTAAAACCCCTAGGAGCAGTGTGGTGGTGACAGACGGAAGGGTTGGGAGTATACTGCTGTGCAGAGTGAGCCTGCTCCACTGTTGAGAATCAGTGCCTCCATGTTCCTCCAGTACCACCTCATGGAACCTCAGTGTAAATGGATTATGTGTATAGTTGGTCATTTGTATAGTTTTTCAGATCTATAGATTCAATACCCTCAATTGTTTTTACATGTAATTGTGCTTAGAGTATTTGTGTTTTATCCTTTCACTTTAACAGGCTTTTGAATGTTATGTATCTGGTGATTTGAAATAATAGAAAAGACAGTTTTTCAGAAATAAGCATAATATAGTTGAAGTCAGCTCTGCTGAAATATTCTACAGCAACTGAATTTGGTTACCCTTGACTTAAGGGTTAGGATTGTTGTGGCACTGCTTTCCAGATCAGACTGTCACTTTATAGTTTTTCTACATAAAGATTATATAGTTGCTAACAAAGGTTGTGAAATTTCCCTTTTGTTGTTGTTTTCTGAATTTTAATTATTTTAATAAAATACGTTGTTTTCATAGTAAATTTAGACTGTTCAAGTAATTTTCTCCATACAGTTGTTCTAATGAAAGCCTGGTAAACCATGTCTAGTTTTAGCAGCTCTGTCCCAAGTGAAAAAGTGAGGTGTCACATTTATCAGTTAAAACTAAAATGTTACATTTTATAAATCTAAACTCTAATCACATATTTTCATGATATATGATTCTGTTGTTTGGGTAATTTCATTTCCTTGTTCTCCTTGTTAAAAAAAGTTATTTTGTTCTGCTTATTTTATTTCAGTGAAGAAAATTTAAAATGCATACAAAAGTAGGCTTCTACAACAAATATCCATATATCTATCAATTTGTTAGTTTGTATCTCTTGTTTTGTTTTTAAAACATAAACCACGGCATCATTATCACATTAAAAAATAATTTAATGGTTCCTCTTTATTTTTAATTGCGGTAAAATGCTATTAACAAAATTCGCCATCTTAACCGTTTTTAAGTGAGTTTAGTGGAGTTAGGTGTATTCCCATTGATATGCAGCCAATCTCCAGAATATTCTTTATTTTGGCAATATTGAAACTCTACCCATTAAACAACTCCCCATATTCTCCTTCCTCTCCCACCCCTCATACCTCATAACCTCATTCTGTTTGATTACTCTAGAAAGTAAGATCACACAGCACACCACTGAATTAAAAATTCTTTACCATTTTCCCAGCCTTTTGTACTTCGTGTTCTCTTATAGTTATATATGATGTAGTTTCACATTAACACTTCATAGCATGGGGTGCAAAATACACTTTCAGTGCAAACCAATTTTGAAAGTGTAGTGGATTAATATCAATAACCATACTTAAATGCTTTCCTGATTTTTTTTTTTTTTGCCTCATGAGAAAGGAAATTTTTGACATGTAGGAAGCTTAGTTTTTTTTTTTATTAGATATTCATTTTGCCACAAAGAAACTTTTCTTATTTTTTATAAGTTATTTTCCTCTGTCTTAGAAAACAGTATCATTCTGTTTTAGAACAATTTGTTTTTTGATACTTCAGTGTGTTGTGGCATGGCATAGTAGTAGAGGAAGAAGAAAAGTCTGATACCTGTGTTTGGATTTGAACACCAGCCTTTCTCCTCTACTAGGTGTGTTGTGTTATTTTGGAATTTCATCATCTTCCTACAAGACAAAGATAATAATCTGTGTGGTTATTCAAAGTAAGAAATCATGTAAATCACTGGCATGTGGTTGTCATAGGGGTACTTAAACATTTAGTATTCCTGAAAATGAGTGATGAGAACATCTTGTAACTAAAATGAGATAAAGTAGCACTGAAATTTGAGAATTTTTAAACACTTGATTTGTATTGGTTAACATTTTATAAATTTGGTGATAATATTAGCACATTTATTACATATTAAATACTTATAATCTCCTGTTCCAGTCTTTTGTATGATATTCTTAATCTCCTTTGAGAAAAAACATTTTTATTAAGTAGATTTTTAAAAATATTTTTTCATCAGTTGTCATTTATGACTCTGGAATTCCACCAAGAAAAGTTTCTGAAAGGTGGAATTCCAGAAAGGAAAATCAATGTAAGTAGCTGAAAAGGGGTGTATGTAAGAATAGAGAACAGTATTAAATTTGGTGAAGCACCGGATTCTTTGTCAAAGTTCAATGTGAAACACACGCACCCCAGTTACCAGAGCTGAGCTTAAGCACTGGGAGTGTGATTAAACTCAGTAGCATTTAGTTAATGTGAAGTTAAACCCTGTGAATTTCAAGATGAAATATTGTGTAGCTTATGAATTTCATAGGATGTTCATCCTCAACCTCTGACACATCCTATCTTACTTTTAAAAAGCTTTTTGGAGTTTTCTGAGCTATAAAACATGAATCTGGAGGAGCATAACATGTTAAAACACTAGGGTCCTTCATAGAGCTGAAACATTAAATTTGGAAAACAAACACCTCACTATAGTTTGGTTACCTGAGCAGCTGAATATTCCTATTAATGAAGTGATGTTAGATGATTTTTCTTGTTTCAGCATGTTTTGTTTTATGCACTATGCAATAGCTACTGGGTATAAACAGTTTATTAAGATCATTTAGGAAAATGCTTTTCAGTTTTTTGGTTATGCTGACATTTTAACAAGGATCTGTTGTATCACTAACTTTTGGGAAGGTAAACAGTCTGGGCTAATGTAGGTCTCTTGCACAGGATATAATTAGGTATCAGGATCCAGAAAGTAGGTAACTTTAGATTCTCTAGTTTCAGTAGCATTTATTTAATGTAAACTTAAAAACTGTGAATTTCAAGATTACATACCATGTGTAGCAAGTGTATGTATTTCATAGAATGCTCATCCTCATTCTAACACATCATTACTTTAAGAATGTGTTCTTCCCCCAAAATCTGCAGCATGTCCAACTTTGTGCCAGATACTATATAAGTAACACAAAACAGAAATACCACTCTTCAAGGATTTCCCAAGAGACAGCTACATCTAGAAATACTAGTTTCATTCTGAATGGATTATCCTGAAAACATGCTTAATTTGATTTAAATAGTATAAGAGGAAGGGTTTAGGCAAGGAATGATCATTTTAATTGACTAATGTGAAACTTATTAAAACTTCTCAGAACGTTCTTCTCTTTTCCTTTTTTTTTTTTTTCCTCTCTGTACTGGGGATGGAACCCAGGGACACTTGACTACTAAGTTATCTTCCTAGCTCTTTTTATTTTTTAATTTTGAGACAGGGTCTTACTAAATTGCTATAGCTGGCCTCAAACTTGTGATCCTCCTGTCTTAGCTTCCTGAGTTTCTGGAATTAACAGGTGTGTGTTCCTGTGCCTAGCCTCAGAATATTCTTTATTTGCATATATTTTATAATCTAGTGTGTGTATTTTGTCACTATTATATGGTAAGACTATGACTAACAGTATATGAAGAATGAAAGAAATTTTGTGTTAAAAATAGTCTGCCTACTGTGTATTTCAGAGCCTTTCATAAGTTGCAGAATTCAACTATCTGGAACACCTTATCTTTAAAATATTCTTCATGATTAGCAGCTATAGCACAGATCCTAATACTGTCCTAGCCAGTGAAGGATCGAGATGATTCTTTCCAAGTGCCAGAGTTCACAGTGGAATTCAAGAGTTCTTTAGGTACACAGGCCTCACTTCAGCTTTCCCAGGACCTCATAACTCTTTATTTAACTCATTATAAGAAGAAAACCTTCAAGCTGTTTTTAGTGTCTGATCCCACATTTTGACCCTTTGTCAGTTTATCATGATGTGTCCTTACATAGTACCCACTGGGGATCTAGAGATCCTTGAGGGCCTTGTAAAGCTCCTATGACTGTGGAAGGTGATTTACCTCTGTTGAAAAGACCCTTTTGGTGAAAAAGAAGAAATCTGATGAACTTTGGGAGGAAATGGAAGACTTGTCCTGCCTTCCTTACCTCCCCTGATTGCCTTGTAGTGCCTCTTTCCTCTGTCTTTGCAGCTTTTAGTTCCTTCCTTGCAGGATTACATACTAATCAGAAGAGCCAGACTAAAAATTGAATGGGATCATTTCAGATGGTTAAATGAGTGAGCTGGAGCATGTTTGAAGAGGGGAAAGGTGTTGGTGACATTGAGAAATGGGAGACAGTGTGGCCCAATTGCAGTGAGGAAAGGAGGGTATGCCATGAGGTGAGGTTAGGTAGAGCTTGTCAGTTTTAAGCAGGGGTGTACCCTGATGTCGTTTTTGAAAGATCACTGTGGCCACTGTATAGACAGATTGGGATGGGGACAGAGAAGAAGCAAGGGAACCAGAAAGGAGGCTCTTAGCCATAGAGATGAAATGGGATTTTATAGCACTGTCCCAAGCATGGGGCAGCTCCCTAGTGAAGGAGTTGGCCTCTCTGCATTTTCTCCAATGCTGTTGATTCCTTCCCTCAACAGAGGCTAGGTATTCACTGTAAGATTGACTTCACTTGACCTCTCGTTCAGAACTCCCAACAGGCAGCTGATCAGGACATAGTGCTCCTGTTACTCTCGGCTGGTTATATGAAGAAATGATAAATTGTGTAGACTCCCGTCTACAGTACTACTGCTGTCCACTGCTACAACCACCTACTGCACTGCAGACTGTTGGTAGGTATTATTTGTGAATGGAGTTGCGTGGGTAACTGAGCTGGGAAGACCTGGCCCATCAGGCTTCTTTACAGCAGCACTTCCCTGGACCTTGAGGATGTGCCACAGATCCTCAGGCAGGGGACTGTGTGTTTCTGAAACCTGATTTGAGAGGGCTAACGTTCCACTGAACATACTTTGGAAAACACTTTGGAATTGTGATTAGGCAACTTTATTTTTCAGAGGGTCCTTTGGTAAAAACAACAGAGACCTAGTTAAATTAAGAAAAAAGGAATTAGTGGAAACCTATGGAGGCACCGAGGATTGACTGCACCTGGAAAGCCCGACATGGGAATCTGCAGGATGGGAGCAGCAGGCTAAGGAAGCCAGATTCCCAGGGGAGCCGTCTGGCCAGGACCCCTCTGGGAAGGATCAAAGTGCCAACCTTCTTCAGCCTGTCTTTTTGCTGAAAGTTCAACGACCATGAAGAGCTCTCCTGGTGGATTTATCTTTTTGTTACCAACTTAAAGAAAACATAACTTTAATTGTTATATTTGTTGTAGTTTACTTTGTCAGTACCCTGTTATCAACTTGAATTGTTTCCACTTTTTTCTCTTCTAAATAATGCTGTAGTAAATATTACTATGCTTAACATTTTTTATTTCATACATTTAAAATTTTTTGAGTTATTTTCAGTTATGGAATTACTGGATCAAAGATATAAACATTTTACAGTTCATATAATGCATCTTGTTAACTTTCTTTCCAAATATAATACCATTTTGGACCTCTTGTGTTGGGGAATAGGTATTTGACCCCAACTTTGTCAGCCCTAGGAATTTATGACATGATTTTTAAAAGTAATTTAAATTGGGTGAAATGACTTGCTCCAGCTGGGGAGATTTCTGGAATCTATAAAACAGAA